TAATTTGCTTGATCTCTAGAGAGAGAAAGAAGAGAGAGAGAGAGAGAGAGAGAGAGAGAGAGAGAGAGATGCAGCAAAGAAAGTGAAGGGGAAGAAGTGAGAGTGAGCGAGTGAGCGAGTGAGTCAGTCTTGAGAGTGTGTGGCAAGTGAGAGAAATGCCAAACCAAAGGAGAGAGACAACTCGTAGGATATTTGCTGGAGCCGCTTAGGTTAGGCTTAAAACCGCGTTATTTTTATTTCTTTATTTATTTGGTGATTTATTTATTTTTTTTTTTTAAACACCCCTCAACGTTGAGTTTGATAAGAATTTTGGAGCCATTTTTTACTTTTTGAATTTTAAAAATTTTCACTTTATTTTTAAATTTTAATTGTTCTCATTTAGGTCCCGTTCGTTTCATCGACTCAAGTTTAAAATTTGAGTTTTGCTGCAATAAAAAGCTCTCAGAAACAGTCATATCTAACTTTTTTACTACAGTAAAAAATTCTCACATGAAGTCGCATCTCAACTCGAATTAAAAACTCAAATCAACGAACTAAACATGCCCTTAATCATTTTTGTTATAATTTCAGTTTATTAATAGAGAGTTAAGTGTAACTTAAGCGTTAAGTGTAGTCATGTAGTTTTTATCTGTTTCTTTTTAACAGAAATCTAAACAGAAATACCACGTGACTGCATTATTCTCTTTCTTTCTATCTATTTTTCACAGAAATTACAATAGAAGGGGTTAACTAAGTGGAAACAATTCAAAATTTAATGGGTAAAATGAGAGTTTTTAAAATTCAAATGGCAAATTGAGAATGATCTTAAAATTTATGGGCATCAGTGATAATAATCCTTTGATCAAACATGTTTATATTAATTATAAAAAATAAGCGGAGAGCTAGACCAGGAAAAATAAATTAGTTATAGTTCTCTATTTTTAACTGTCATATATGTATTAAAATTGTATGTTTTGTAAGCTTTTTTAATCTAATATGATTTTAACTTAATCTAATGAAAAAAACTGACACTACTGATGGGTCAGGCCTATTAAAGAAACTCCCAAAAAAGAATGTGATAATAAGCTTTTAAGAGAATGTAATAAATAGTAAATTTATGAAATTAAATTAAATAAATAGTAAAATTTAAAATTATTTAAAATAAATAGCAGTTTATCACGTAATTATTTTATTTACAATTAATAAAATATTTTTTATATAAATTTTCTTTTTACGGTAGTTAAAATTTTTTTTTTCATGTAAATTACCACGTAAATTATTATTTACTGATTGTAACGACATATTTACACAATAAATTATCAATATATTTACATAATTTACTATTATTTATTTTAAATAATTTTAAAATATGATATTCGCTTAATTTAATTTTAAAATTATGATTTCTCCTATTATTTTTTCTCCTCACATGTTCACGAAGACGGGGTGTCAAAATTTTAACAATCAAATAGTAAAAAGAAGGAAACTCACGAACCTTCGAAATAAAAAAAAATTCCCAATGAGTTTCTATTCAAACGGTCCTTTTTTTTTTCACAACTCAAAATTTCTTTTATTTCAGTATTTTTCATAAATTATAAATTTAACATTTTTATTACAATATTTTCTTTAAAAAAAATTGACATCATCTCAAGCCCCGTTCACTTCGCTGATTCGAGTTTAGAATTTGAGTTGAGATGTGACTTTATGTGAGAGCTTTTTACTGTAGCAAAAAAGTTAGATGTGATTGTTTATGAGAGCTTTTTACTGTAGAAAAACTCAAATTCTAAACTCGAATCAGCGAAATGAACAGGACCTCAATTTATCGATTGGATTGCTCTGGTTCAATTGGATCTCTTCGTTAGAGGCGAGACAACCATACGAAACAACTGAAAAAACAGATAAGTCTCCAAATTGTTTATTTCTTTATAAAATAAAAATAAAAATAAAAAACTCCAAATGATTTCGGTTACGCCCTCTCTTTTCGTCCACAGAACCCCGACCTCCTACTTCTTCTTCACCACCACCATTACTACCAGACGATCAAAACCCAGCTTTCCCGCTCTGTCAGTTTGGTCCTCGTCGTCGCCGTCGGGTCTCTATGAGATCGCCGACAAGTCGGAGAAGCGCCAAGAGCTCGGGTCGGAGCTCTACTCGTCGGCGCCGTTCCCGGAGATCAAGGCGGCGAAGCGGGTGGTGCTGGTGAGGCATGGGCAGAGCACGTGGAATGAGGAAGGAAGGATCCAAGGGAGCTCCGACTTCTCGGTTCTCACCAATAAAGGCGAGGCTCAGGCCGAGACCTCCCGCCAAATGCTCATCGATGATTCCTTCGACGTTTGCTTCTCCAGGTTTTCTGTTCTCTTCGATTTCTTCTTTTTGTCTTTTATTTTCAACTAGTTTTGCCATAGGATTTCAACTTCCCTTTAAGATTGTCCTCGTATCCCTACTTGAACTGTTGAAGTTCGTATTCTCATTTGGACTTAACTACTGACGGGAAATTAGTAATATCGGTAACGTTTTTTTTTGGAATTCGATTTGACTTTTTCCTTTTGCATTTGTTTTGTTTGGCGAAAGCACAATTAATAAGTATTTTGTTTACTATTTACAAAATGCTCGTAATCTCTGTCATAAGGTGATCGTTAACTTTTTTTCCCGATGACTTTTTTTTTTTTTTTTTTTAATGTCATTGATTTCAAAAGGTTTGTCTAAATTTTGAGCTATTAAAATTTGTATGAAGCTCCTAATTGGAGTTTTTCTCAACTTGGAGTAAGCTACAAAGTGGTCCTTTGTTTAATAAGGTGTTAAATTCAAGCGTCTATGGATTAGAGTTTGGTAGCCTTGGTTCCATGTAAAGTGGGTCCTTATACTTGGTGAGTATATTTATGTTGGCATGTCCGAGGATTGTAGCAAGAGCACTATCATGCATTAGTCTTTTTTCCTTGGCATGTAATGTAATATTGTAATTGTCTAGTTCTGATCATATTTCCATTGTATATTGTTCCTTTTTTTTTTGTGTGTTTTAACCCATGATAATGTAGGTTTGATAGCTGAGGATGTATAGTGTTTTTTCTCTCTCAATTATTTTTATTTTTATTTTGGGGTGTGCGAGTGACTTGATCTACAATTTCAACTATACTTTTCTTTGCCTCAGTCCTCTTTTACGATCAAGGAGAACTGCTGAAATCATATGGGGAAGCCGTAATGAGGAGATACTTACTGATCCTGATTTGAGAGAAATCGACCTGTATTCCTTTCAAGTAAGCCTTTTTTTGGTTTAAACATTTCTTCTATGCATGGCATCAATGTAACTTTACGATTTGATATTCTAATTGGTTGCTTTTTGGGGAATTTTGTTTCTTTAGGGGCTTTTAAAGCATGAAGGGAAAGCAAAATTTGGCGAAGCTTTTCGACAATGGCAGGTAGATGCTGCGAATTTCAACATCGATGGTCATTATCCAGTGAGAGAATTGTGGGCTCGTGCTAGAAATTGCTGGAACAAAATACTTGCACATGAGGGCGGGTCCATTCTTGTGGTTGCTCACAATGCTGTTAATCAGGCTCTTGTTGCAACTGCTATTGGTACTATTCTTTTCTGTGCTGCATCACTTTGTGGCTGTATAGAAAAATTGTTTTTCGGATGTAGTTTTGAGCATGTTGCTCCTTTAAATTTTTTTCTGTTTTACCTTCTCAACAATCAGGATTAGGAACGAAGTACTTCAGGATATTGCTTCAGAGTAATTGTGGAGTGAGTGTGCTGGATTTCACTCCTCGACTTGAGGTTGGATCACCGCTTATTTGTCTCAATCGTCTGAATCAGGTATATTGTTTTCTTTGCTGACAAAGATTTACAGTTAAAAGTTTGATACCTTATGAAGAAAAGGTAAAACCACAAATGACAATCTTAAGGGTTTAATTGGCTAAATCCAGGACACGACTTTCCAAATGCTTTTCTCAGGAAGCTGAAGGATAATTTTCTCAACTGTTTTATCACACCAAGATTGTTATGATATGTTATGCAGACACCGAATTCACCCGTGGCTGGTGGAAGTTTTGGAGGAAGGAAAACCAGCAAGAGGATCATACTTGTGTGTCATGGATCCACCCTGACAAATACAGAGGTTCAAAAAGGGCAGCTAAGAAAGTGCATTTTAGTTTTTGTCTGTTCTTCCATCATAATTTTTATGCAATGCAATGACTTGAAAAAAGAATGTGCTTGGGCTTCCATTTTCATCTGTTTTTGAAATTTTTTTGACGTTGTGAAATTTATAGAAGAAGTATGATTATTCATTCTGGGCGAGCTAACTTTTATAATAGGTAGTGAGGTGAGGACTAACTATGGATTACGTTTCTTTTCCAATAATGGTGTTACAATGTAGCTGTTAATTTGTCATTCAAAACTCAATTCAACAGTTGAAATTTGAGATATTTAGACTTGTAATCCCAATGCACATAGACAAGTTTGGAATATTTAATGATGGTGATGTATGTATTGAAACTACAAGATAATTAACTAGTTTCTGTAACTGCAACCTTGTATAGCTAGAGAGTGACAACGAATTTGTGCACACACTAAATCGTTTCCGAAATCTTTTATAAATAACGGGATTCCAAACTTCCCTCGATGTCGAACAGGCTAGCTCTCATTTTTCTGAGGATCAAACAATGAACATGCTTGGAGTTATACAGGTAAAGGATTTAGATGTATTTCTGTGTTCTTATGCTCCTTTTACCATGTCATCTGATCCGAATCTGACATGCTACTGTGGAGATATGACAGTCCCAAAAGACTGCTGAGCTACTTCTTGATTTGAAAGTTAGTTCCATTGTTAGCAGTCCAAAGAAAGCTTGTGTACAAACAGCAATAGCCATCTCCAGTGTAAGCTGAAGCTGATCCTTAATTTTCTCACGTCCATTGCGACATCACATACTCTCGAATGCAAAATCATATATTCACGTGAAATGGCTGATTAGGTTCTTCTGTCAAGTTCATCACAAGTTGAGTTAATTGCAGGTACAAGAAGCTGCAGATTGCTTGGGTGCCGACTGTGTGCCTCGCTATGTGGAAATGAAGCAGTTGGGGAACCTTAATGTTGAAAGCATCCTTCAGCAAGTGAAGAAGGCAAGATATCTAAACTTATTCCAGAGTCAACCCGTTTCTAGTTGATTTTTCTTTTTGTGGGGTCCAAATAATGTATTGAGTCAAATTTGGGATCTGGCCTAACGATGGAAACATTTTGCATAAGTATCCATTATCGTTAGTGTTCTTGCAGATGACGGCCGTGCTGGAGGATTTATCAGTGTAGTTTATAATCTTTCTTTTTCTAACAGGATTCCAATGTGGTCTCAAGCCTTCAGCCCGGTTCGTTAAATGGGTTTGAGGACACGGTCCTCTCAGCGGTCTGGGATCAATCGGAACAGGCTTGGCAGTATTTGCTTAAGGAACTAGCTAGTGGAATTGAACAAGAAAGAATTGTTGTTGTTGTTGGCGATCCTGCTATTCACATAGCGCTTTTGGCACACTGTCTAAATCTGACGAAGGAATGGGTGGGATCATTTCATCTCGATGATGGAAGCATCAGTGTCGTCGATTTTCCCGATGGCCCTGCCGGTGGAGGTGTTATCCGATGCATAAACTATACTGCTCATTTAGGGAGATGGTCAATACCCATCACAAGATCAACAGTGGATGATGAAGAGTTCTAGATTATAAATACTTGTGAAAAAGGCCATTTAAATAAAGTGCTTATTATCTACCTGAAAAATCCACATAGATTTTCACACTTGAGGAACAAACAATGAGGTTGAAAAAAAAGAAAGAAAAAAAAAAGATCTATGCCTTTTGGAAGGTTACAATTTATGCAAACTAATATAGTAGATTGCATGAATGTACATTCATGGTGAAAACCAGCTTATTTCCTTCCCTGCGAAACATATGAGATCAGCTCTCTGAGAGTTTTTTTAAAAAGAAAATTAGATATCATTTTTTCAATTGTATAAAGTTTTTCATTATGTGAAGTAGAATTAAAATATAAGAGCAATTACTCTTTGGGGAAACAATAACTATAAAAAAGGGGCATATGCAAAGCATATGTAAAAGTAAGACGCAAGTATTATTAATTTTTTAAGTTGTGTAGGTGTTGCTTTTGTAATAAAACAAGAAATACTTTGGGGCGTTTTGTGAGAAAACAATGAGTTCATTCTTATCCTATAAAACTCGAATGATACTTTTCAAACAAGAATTCTTTGGCTCCAAAAAAAAAAAAAAAAAAAAAAAAAACCCAAAAAAAAAAGGAAAAAAAAACCCAAAGGAAAAAATTTTAGACTTTTTGTTTTTTGTTTTTAATGTTAAAAGGAGAAGGAATGGTTAACAAAATTAATACAAAATATCTTTGACTTATAGCAATACGTTTGTGTGTGCGAATTTTTTTTTTCCTAAGATACTCGCGTCTGTATAAGATTTTGAATTAATTTAATTTCACAAATAGTACTTGAGGTCTACACTCAATTTCATTTTAATTCTTGACTTTTAAAACATCTAACAGCTAGTGTCTGAGGTTTTACTCTATTTTAGTTTCGATCCTTCTGTTAGTTAAGTGTTAAATATTTGAGGGAAATCTGTAAAAATTAGAAACATCTAAAACTTAGAGCCTAAAACAATATAAAAACAAAAGTCAATTTCCTAGACAGCCTTTAATTTACACAGATTCCGTCAAATATCTAGAATGACCGAAATTCAAGCACAATAAAATCTAAGAAACTAATTGTGGTACAATTTAAAAATCACGAACTAAAACAAGAATGAGAGTAAGGGCATGTTTGGTTCATGGATTCATAATTCTGATTTTTAAAATTTAATTTTTTTTTGAGAGAAAAACACTATAGAGAACCACGAATCATGATTCAGAATCAGTATCGGATACATGAAACAAACATCTCCTAAATCTTTAGGAACACTTGCGGAAATAACCCTAATATTTTAGCTTGAGGAATTAACCCTAATATTTTAGCATGTAATTTTTTATGTAGAGGGTTAGCTTGGATACGGGGCAATATGCTAGAATGACTATCCAACAAAGTGAAATTAACAAAATGACCTTCTTCTATTTTTTATGAAGAAAGATATTTACTCATTCTTTGTAAAAAGATGTTATTTTGTAAATAAAAATTTTTAAAAAGTTATTTTACTAATAAAACTTTTCAAAAGAGTTATTTTTACAAAGGCCTCGGATACGGCAGTTTCACATGGCATCAGCATTTGAGATGTCAATTTTGCATTTGTCCAATAAATTTATCAAAGACAAAAATTAATTCATTTTGTACTGCAACTTGGTGGAGAGTGGAGAAGACACACAAATACTTAAAATACAAAATATCATCGTGCCTCTCGCGTGTTTTTGATATTAGACAAATTGAAAACTCAACTAACGAAATATATATATATATTATATTTATAATAGCTTACACATGAAATATATGAATCCCCAACCTTGGCGTGCAAGCCATTTTTTTTTTCCCAAACATTCAATTAAACTCAGGTCAAGGGTGGTTTTTTTTTTTTTCTATTTTAATTTGCTCACTGCAGGCCCAACAAATTTATTTTATTATAGAGAAATAGTAAAAAATAGGCCAATATGAAAAGTTTAAGAAAGTATATAGACCAATTTTTAGTTATAGAAATTAATAGGCCATAACTTGTTAAGTTATGATTCATAACCATATAAGTTATGTACAAACTTATCAAGTTATGGTTCATAGTCAGACAAGTTATGGACAATTATGGACAATAACTTGTCAAGTTATGGTTCATAACTAGACAAGTTATGGACGAAAACAGTAATTTGGCCTATTTATTAACTTATGTAAACTATTGACCTATTAATTTTAATTCATCTCAAGTCTTGGCATATTTCCCTCTTTCTCCCTTTATTATATATATTACGGAAATAGTAGAAATTAGGTCAATATGAAAAGCTTAAGTATATAGGCAAATTTTTAGTTATAGAAATTAATAGGCCATAACTTGTCAAGTTATGGTTCATAACCAGATAAGTTATGGATAAACTTGTCAAGTTATGGTTCATAGCCAGACAAGTTATGGACAAAAATCGTCCATAACTTGTCAAGTTATGATTCATAACCATACAAGTTATGGACGAAAATAATAATTTGGCCTATTTATTAACTTATGTAAACTATTGGCCTATTAATTTTAATTCATCTCAAGTCTTAGCTTATTTTTCTCTTTCTCTATTTCGAGTTTACAATTTCATTACTTTAAGGTTAAGACTCCGTTTATTTCACTAATTTGATTTTATAATTTGAGTTTTGTTACAGTAAAAAGCTCTTAGAAATAGTCACATCTAACTTTTTTGTTACAGTAAAAAACTCTCACATAAAGTCACATTTCAATTCGAATTAGTGAACTAAACGGGCCATAAGTATATACAGTATGTCCCTTTGAAAGCAACTGCGCAGTTTCATGACATCTTTGAGAGTTTTTTTGTAAATATTTCTAACAAACCACAAACAGCGTAAGCAGCGCTCCACTTGGTAATCTAATTTAAAAAATTAGGATCAACGTGTGTGTGTGTGTGTATATATATATATAAAAATTAGGATCAACGTGTGTGTGTGTATATATATATATATATATATATATATATATGAATGTATGTGTTAATATATATATACACACACATATGCACGTATAAAAACATGCGCGAATCTCATCAATGAAAGTAACTCAAAATTTAGAATATAGCAACTATTGTAGGTCTCCTAGGGACCAAATGGTACCTACGGGCTACAACTAGTATACGTTAACTGTAGAAGTTAAATGGATTCACCAAAAAACTTTAGAAGTTAAAAACATGCGCGAATGTGTTTAGTATAAGGATTCGTATCATAATTTATTGTAATATTTTTTTTATAAAAAATACACATAAATTAAAAATAATTCTTAATAATGATTTGAATTCATGAAATTCGTATTTATATTCTCATTAATACGCGTGACAAAAAGATATTTTTTTACCACCCAAAAAAAGGAAAAAATTCGCTGTAACAACGAATTTCAAATTTGCCGCTATGTGTCTATATTGATTAGGCTATCTATAGCGACATGGTGCTTTTTCTAGCCGCGAGAATAAGCCCTTTTTTTTTTTTTTTTTTTTCCGGAAGATAAACCCTTTTTTTTTTTTTTTTTTTTTTTTTCTGTAGTGCTACCATTAATATGCAAGGTTTCTTCTTCCCAACTTCGACCGCAATACATGATCATGTTCGAGAATTAAAAAAAAAATGTTAACAAATAGATTACATATTAAAATATTCATATATCTTAACCATTGATATTTATGCTGATGCTTATGTTTTGGAATTGAGAGTGCATAAAAGATAAAAAGGGATGGGAAAAAAAAGAAGCAAAAGGAGGGTTTTTTCCCCTCAATAATAATGCTTAATTATATGTCCTCGCTTTTATTCATAATGTTTTCGGAGTAGGAGTTGGTGGGTCTAAGTTTAGGATTTTTAACACAATTGTCTTTGAATTTATCACGGTTTAGTAAATTATTTTCAGAAATTTTAATTTTGACAATCAACTCTCTAAATATGTTCAATTGTTGCATTTAGACACATTTAAGTAACGGCGGTTAAATTTTAAACAAAATTAGTCATGTGAACTGCATGTGGATATTTTAAAGGGCATTTTAGTAAAATGATCATTTATATGTTGTAAAAAATAATTAAATTAAGAAAAAAAAATAAAAAAATAAAAATGTCATATGTAAAAAAAAACATACCTACAAATAAATTAGAAAACCAAATCAACAACACACTAAATCAAGAATACAACTGATTTTAAGATTCAAAGTTTAATTTGTCAAAATTAAAAGCTCATGGTGCATTATGTAAAACCTGAATAGTTTAGGGTGCAACAATACAATTTACTCAAAAATTATTTGGATGGTTGAGATTAAAATATTTAAAGATAATTGCTGAGATTAGTTTAGGGCTATAAAACCGATTCTACCCTTTTAAGAATCCCACATATGACTTGCACATGGTTAATTCCGTCCAAAATTTAAAAACCGTTACTTAAATGTTTCTAATTGCAACGATTGAACAAGTTCAGAAAGTTGATTGTCAAAATTAAAAATTCAAGAAGCAACTTACTAAACGACGACAAATTTAGAAAGCAAATTTATTAAAAAAACCCTCTAAATTTAAGTGGGGTCAACTTTTACTATCGTAATAATCATTCCCCGTTGCCAATATAAATTTTTAGTGGACGCTTAGTTCATGGATTCAGAATCACAATTCAGAATTATTCTCAATTTACGTGTATTTTTTGTGAGAGAAAATACTGTAACGAATTATGAATCATGATTCGAATCAGGGTACGAATCTCCTAACTAAACAACCTATTCGTTACTTACAAAAATAGAAGAAAAAAGATCTCCATGTTTAGGAGGGGGAAAAAAAAGAAGGAAGAACTAAAGAAGCAGAAAAGAAAAATCAGACTAAAAAATTTTTCCCATCACGTATCCACTACTAGCCACCAAGATAACAATCTAGATTTCCCTGATTGACCGGCAAAAAAAAAAATCTTGCCAAATTTTTTTCAATCTCTTATTTTGTCAAATGATGGAATTTTAACAACCGGAACAATCATAAGATTTGAATTTGGCAGCTTGGCTTCCCAAGTTGGTAATAGAAGAATTACTTACCACTATATCAAAGATCCAGTGACAAAATTTCCATGAATTTTGATAGAGATTTTTTAAGTGTAACCAATAATAATATATATTATTAATCAACAAAGACCAAGGCAATAGAATTAAAAGCGAATCCACGAACATGTTACCAATAGTTATGGTATCCTGACCAGGTCCAACTTTTTGTTTTTTTCTTTGCCTTTTTTCTTTGGTGTTTTATTTTTATTTTAAGTTCCTGATATGAACTGGCAAAAGTGATTAAAGAAGGCGAGGCAAAGCTTGAAGGTTTCAGCCTCAAGCCTTCCATTTCTTTCCTCTCTTATGAGGTGCTGATTTTAAGGTGAGAGAGAGAGAGAGAAGAGAGAGAGAGAGAGAGAGAAAATCACATATTAAACATATCATATGCGCTTGTCAGAAACCTGGATTTCTTTGCCTGCTCCTTCCCCTCCTAATTATCTTCCTCTGAGCTTCCTCCTTAAGAAACGCCAAAAAAAAGAAAGAAAGAAAAGAAGAAAGAAAGAAAAGTTGAAGCAAAACGACAGTTCTAAAAGTTTCACTCAAATCCTCTATTCCTGTCAATTTCCAAACCTTCTTCTATTCCTTCATTTCTTCTCACTACAAGCCAAATCAGAACAAATCCCATTTCTTCAAAACCTTCAAAAATTTTTTTTTTTTTTGGGGTTATATTTCACAATGAGAGACATTATTGTTTCTTGTTTCAGCGAAAACGCCATAAATGTGTCTCACCCTTCATGTTCTAGCTACTCAAACACCAATTGCATCTCTCCAAGCCAGAGTCCTTGCGTCCAAAACGCAGTGACTTCAATCTACAAAATCATTCTCTCAAACCAGAACGTTTTCTCGGTGAAAGTCGCTTGGTGCAAAAACAACTCCGTCCAAGGCCTAAGCATAAACTTGGGCGACGACCCGTTGTCGACCTTGAAGCTGAACATCAATTCCCGTTTGTTCAGAAAGAAGAAGGGAACGAAGGCTTTCGATTCGGGCCACTCGAAGGTAGAGATTTTCTGGGATCTCTCCAACGCCAAGTTCGAACAAAATCCCGAACCCGTCGAGGGGTTTTACGTCGTAATCGTGTTGGATTCCGAGATTGGCCTGGTTTTGGGTGACATGGCTGACGAAGCTCTGTTGAAAAAGCTCAAAACGAATTACGTGAACAACAAACCAGTTGGCATTGCCAGAGCCTCTCTGGTTTCAAGACAAGAGCACTGTTCGGGGATTAACACGCTTTATTCGACCAAGGCTAGGTTCTGTGAAACTGGGATTACTCATGAGATTTTGATCAAATGCAGCGGCGACAATGAAGGGCTGAAACATCCGGTTTTGTCGGTGAGTATCGATAAGAAGACTGTGATTCGTGTGAAGAGGCTGCAGTGGAATTTTAGAGGGAATCAGACGATTTTTGTTGATGGATTGCTTGTTGATCTGCTTTGGGATGTTCATGATTGGTTCTTCAATAATCCTGCTTCTTCTTCTTCTTCTTCTTCTTCTGGTTATGCTGTGTTTATGTTCAGGACGAGAAGTGGAATGGACAGCAGGCTTTGGTTGGAGGAGAAATTGGCTCAGAAAGAGCACGACAGACTTGAGTTCTCTCTCCTGATCTATGCATGTAAGAGCTTGCAATGAACAACTTGACTCTTTTTTTAGTCTAGTTCTTTTGTTTTGATTCTATGTTGTCTTCTTTTTTTCTTTTTTTTTTTTAAATTTCCCTTTCTGCTTGAAAGGAAAATAGATACAACTAATTCAATTTGTTAAAATTTGTTATATGAGAAGAAAGTAATTCAAGTTCAAAAATGTGAATTGTGGATAGACAAATTTGGAAACTTTCTCTGTTTGTATATCTCTCTCTATCAATAACTTTCTCTGTTTACCATTTGACCACTTTATAATTTCATTCCTTTTCCTCCCTCTCCTCTCAGTTTTATATGATTAATTAGTTATAACTAATTAATTCACTCCCAGATAAACGATAATAATGAATTTTCTTGTTTGACAAGTACAATAATAGGCAAGAGATGCTTGATTAATTGGTATTTTTAACTTGAGCTTGATTTTATTTTATTTTTTTTACTTAAATACGATAAAATTTCTTCATTAACTATGAAGAAGACAATATTGCTTTTAAATTGGAAAAAGAAAAGACAAAACATCTTTCTTCCTTTTCCCTATTTAGTGAATGTCTGAATGATCATCTTCATGAACTAATGGATTTTCTCTTCCATCTTGTCCCCTATTTAGCATATGATTGGTTAGTTAGGAAACTTGTAGTGCTTCTTTCATTAATGAGGGAAAAGAAAGATCCAAGTAATGTCACACTCAGTAGCATGGCAAGCCATTGTTGAGTATTGTCAGGCTTGACTTGGTTGGCCAAGTCACCAAAACCCACAAACAAATAAGTATAACATTGTCATTTTTTTCTTTTATTTTTATTTTTATTTTTTGCTTTATTTGTTATGAGTATTTATGGCATGGTATGAAAATTTAGACTTTTATTTTTGCTTTATTTGTTATGAGTATTTATGGCATGGTATGAAAATTTAGAATACTCAGAGTTTTATCAAAATTGTGTTAAATTTATGGTCTCGTTTAGTTCGTGTATTCGAGTTGAGATGTGATTTTATGTGAGAGAAAAAATTAAATGTGATTTTTTATAAGAGTTTTTAACTATAGTAAAATTGGAATTGGTGAAATAAACGAGGCTTTAGAGTATCTTTTCCCTCCTTACTATAAAATTTTGAATTCGATAGAGTACAAAAAAAAAAAAAAAGAAAAAAAAAAGAGGTAGAGGACAATTCTAAATATGAATATTGGTTTTACCTTCATGCTCATGTCCTACTAATGAATATTGGTTTCACCTCACAGATGCATGTTTCTTACCTGAAAAGTCCCTTTGAAGTAATCAAATGAGTTTTTCAAATTCTCCTTTTTTTTCATGTTTTTAAAAAAGAACACAGGGTTTTTTTTTTTCTCTTCAAAATTATATCCAGCATTTTGTGATATCAAATTATATGACTTCATATTTTGGATTGTATCATATTTATACTTTCAGATTTTTAATTTATGCCCAATTCACATCTTTTAACCACAAAATGAGCTAAACATCCATAAAGAAATGAGAATATGAATAAGAAATAAAAATTAAAAAGCGTGAAGGATATTTGGATTAATTGTACAGTCAAAAACAACCTTTGACCGAAAAAGGTAAGGTTTTAACATGAACTTAAAATGTAAAAGTATAAATTTGATACAAATCAAAATACAAGATATGATTTCTCTTTCTAACCTCAAAATGCAGAGTATAAAAATGCCAAAAAAAAAAAAAAAAAAACCCAAAATATAAGATAAATCATTATTGGCTACTTTCATGTAAATTTGTGCACATAACTCCAGTTTAGTTTGTTCAAACATCCATCATGAAAGGTAGTTAGAGAGAGAGGGAGCGCATTAAAAAAAAAAAAAAAAACAGAAAAAAAAGAAAGAAAAAAAAAGAAAAAGAAAAGAGCCTAGGGTTATTTGCCACTTTTCAGATCCTCTTAGTGCACATTCTCAACGGTCCCCAAACTCTTAAAGCGATGATTTGGCCCACGACCAAAAAACACCAATCATTATCTTCATAGAAGCACTGAGCACCATTGCTTGGCTTTATATTGTTGGTTCTTTTATCCTCTACGAGCTGCTTCTGCGTAGCATGTATAAATAAGGAGCAAACTTTTTTTTTTCTTTTTCTTTTTTTATAGCAGTTTTAGCAAATATTCTGTAATCACACAGCTCAAAAGCGCTGGAATATGTGGCAAACTCTGTTTTTGCGTGTGAGTGGGTGAAAGAGAGAAGTAGTTGGATCCATCATGCAAATCGCTTTTCATTAACTGAGAAGACCTTCTTTTCCACTCCCCACACACACACATGCAGACTTTTCAGGACCCGTTTAGTTAGTTGATTTGAGTTTTTAATTCGAATTAATATGTGATTTTATGTGAAAGTTTTTTATTGTAGTAAAAAGTTAGATGTGACTGTTTTTAAAAGCTTTTTACTGTAGTAAAACTCGAATCGGTAAAATGAACGGATTATATTTGTTATTCCTATGTATAAGAAAGAAGATTATCTTGACAGAATTCTGCTACCGTATTTTCCCGAATGAAACACACTTGATCGGACATCGCTCTCTTGTTAGCGGAAAAAAAAAAAAAAAGAAAAAAAAAGGTCAAGGTTGTGACTAATGTCATGGTTTGGAGCTTTAGGGTTGCATAAAGCATAAAGGGCACGCCTTTCTTACGCGGCCACAGTTCTAAAATGTAACGGGCATGACTTTTATAATAATAACAAAATATATTTATTAATTAGAGGGTTTTGCTCTATGAGTAGGTAAGTTTTCTAAGTCATGCAATTGAATTTCAATGGCTCGATTTCTGAATGTAGTTATAAAAATACTTTCACTCGTAGATCAGACTGTTAAAATTTAATCAACAATAAGTTTTAATCTCAATTTAATTGGGATCGGCTATATGAATTTCACTTTTTCACGCAGCTCTGTTTGAAATTAGATTTTTCTGAAGGCCTAAATCTATAAACTGTTAAAATTTAATCAAGTAGTTTAAAAAACTTTACTCTATTGATAAGGTTTTTATTATTAATATCAAATAAACTCACATCATCTTTTTAACAATCTCAAGTTGGACTCAAAGTTCCTTTCATTTTCCTCCACTCTATGACAACTGTTGATTCGAGTTTTTAATTTGAGTTGAAATGTGATTTTATATGAGAGCATTTTACTGTAGCAGAAAAAGTTAAATGTGACTTTTTATAAGAGCTTTTAATTATAGTAAAATTAAAATTGAAAACTCAAAGTAGTGAAATGGACAAGGGTTAAAATTCCTAATCCTATTCCATATTGTTATGTTATGCATAATGGCCCAACCTTAGACGTCAGGTCAGTGGCACCTATCTAATGTCTTCATTGGATGCTCCCAGATTTTATCTTCAGGACCACTTTTAATACCCATCTTTTCTTGCTTTGAAAGACCCACTAATTAATTTCTATTATTCTTCTTCTTATGACATTTTCCATTCTTTAAATGAGTGCAAGAATTTCAAAATACCCTAGCCTATACCTTAAAAATTAGCTTTGGAAGATTATTTAATGTGTAAAAGAAGGACTGAAAAATAAATAAAAGATCAAATTCCGCACATCAGATCCAAGGTATCAATGGAAGTTGAGCACAATTTAGCCTCTAGCTAAGATCTGTATATATCTACAGTCTAGACCAGCGATATCTCCGAACTCGTTTATTTCATATACTCAAACTTAAATCATTGATTATGTTACAGTGTTTTCCTCTCGTAAAAAAATTTAAATTTCAAACGTCAGAATCTTTTCAAATAAATCTTTCATTTTCTTGACCTAAATAACTTGTTGGGGGTGCTTTAGATAAGTCACACATTACACAGATACTATGATTCGTTCAGTTTCTCACAGATCTCAATACACCACGGCAGTACCAAAAGAAAAAAAAAATCATTCTACATTTCTCTTATCATAACTGTTGGTTATTGCTGCTAAATAATGCTTAATTAAAGCAACGAGGATTAATACTAAGGATTTCATATTAATTCGATTACAATTAATGTGACGATTTTTCAACCACAGTTGGAAATGAGGATACTAATTACCCGTTTGATTTACGTGTTTAAATTAATGATTTTAGTTTTAAATTTAAGTTTTGTGAGAGATTTTATTGGCGGTAACTTTTTTTATTCAAAATTTTTTTTTTTTATAAAAAAATATTATAACAGAATCAGAATTATAATTTTAAATGTGTGAATTAAATAATTACAATGATTGAAATAGTTTATGTGCCGTAAGCTCGTCAAATTGACACGTTACATGTTTGTTGGTAAAAAAGAGAAGATGAAAGTTTGGTTGGAAAATATGCTGAATATTTGGGTCTGAGCATTAAAATATAAATATTGATTACTTGTTTTAGCAGTACAATCAATTAGTAGGGTCTCAACAATCAAACATTTTCTGCTTTGCTTTTCTTCTTTTCTCCGCGCCTACGCCTAACAATTGCCAACCTAAATTGCCCACCAAATCTGATTTGATTCTAGATTTAGCTACATGATATGTCTCAAAGTATTCATATGATTTTTCTTTTTAATTTTTACTAAAGAAAAAGAGATCAGTTGTGTCCTCATGCTTGTACACAACACTTTTTAGAGAAATCTACTGAGACTACAAGTGGAACGATAAAGGAACTTAATAGATGCTTTTGTCCCTCGTTTAATCCGCTAAATATCCTAATGCTGGTTGGAGTTCACCAACTTCAAATAAGTTGGATATGCTTGACAAAGACCATCATTCTCGATACCAGAATGGAAATTTAATCCAAGAGGTAGGTTAGAGACATTAAGGACGTTTGGTTTATGGATTCAGAACAATGATTCAGAACTATTCTCAGTTTACGTGTGTTTTTTATAAGAGAAAATACTGTAGTGAGTCACGAACTATGATCCGAATCATAACACTGATCCTTGCTCCAAACGCACTATAAAACTTGGCTAAAAGCACTTATAAACTGTTTTTGTAGACCCTTTTTTGTGGCACTCTGGCAGACCTTGAATCCATGTGCTTCCAAGTGCTAAAATTCAAGAACTTCTACTCTATCATTTCTTTTTTTTTTTTGTTGCGCTATAAATAATAAATAATTCCTCAAATAAACCCTTTGCTCTTCTTAAATAATATAGTGGACCATCATCTTGCTATAGTTTATAATTGGACTCTCGTTTTCAAAGTGTTGACTATATTAAAAATTAGAGCGATATTCAAACCCAAAAAAAAAAAAAAAATAGTAGTAATAAAAAACAAAGCAACTGGGGGGAGAAGGCATTGAAAATTTATTATTGGAATTGTTGGTTATTAGCTAACGGTAGGTGATGTAGAACCAGGATAGAATTGAGAATGTATATATAATTTTAAAAGAAAAAAGATATGAATCAAATGAAGAAATAGAGATAGAATAAAGAATTAGAGGGAGAATAAACTATAAACTAAACATTCATTCATTAGTCAACTCTTGGAACTCCAATTATATTTACGAAGATATCTATAAAAACCTAAAAGGATTAAAATAAACTCAACTATATAGTCCTAGAGATAGCATATAAATCTCACAAATAATACTAAAGATCAAATATATCTTAAATAATAACTACACGAGTTCAAATTAAAATTTTAATCTCAATATTCCGCGTCACTATCTCAACAAACTCGACTCCGGCAAGTTTTAAACTCCAAAGAATCATAAAGTAATAATCTAAAATCTTCAATCTTAATGTGTGATTTTGAAAGTAGCCATATAGACTTGATATGAGAAAAGATAAAAAAAAAATATTTGGGGTTTAAGATCACTATGGTAGGCATATATCTTGAAAGAAAATTTCCATGGAATATTGCTTTAATGTGAATAATTTGGTGGGCTCGCGATGGTGTTAGAAGATAGGTTTGTAATCCTACTTGAAAAACCTTAGGATCAAGGGCTGAAAAATTATTTAGAGGTGAGAAAAAGCATAGTTTCTTCTAAAGATTCACTTGATGGAAGATCATCAAGAGGTGAGATAAGTAACAAATGGCCGTGTTTAGAATTGATCCCGTTTTTATTTTTTACGTTTTTTGAGAAAGAAAAAATGTGAACCTTTCTAAAACGGTGTTTGGCGCAATAAAGATAAAAAACATAAATCAAAACGATTTTTTAGTTTAGTGTAAAATAAGAGAGAAATGAAAAATGATTTTTAGTCGTTTTTTATTTTCTCCTCTCTCGAGCAAAGAGAGAGAGACATTAATAAGTTTTTTTATATTAAAAATAATCTCTTAATAAAACTATCAAACGCATTTTCAAAAATGATTTCTGTTTGAGATTAAAAACGTTTTCATTTTTATTTTCATACAAAAAATAAAATCATTTTAAAACGAATTCCAAACGCACCCATAATTTCTTCTAAAGATTCACTTGATGATGGAAGATCATCTAGAGGTGGGATAAGTAACAAAGTTTTTTCCACAGGTTGATTTTGTGGTTTTACAATTTGTGGATTGACATTGGTTTCCTCAAAGTAGCATGGTCACCATATCAACCATTAGAGCAAGTCACTAATCCGTTCGAGCAAAGTAATCATTCTCACACCACAAAATAGTTCAGATATCGATAATTTCAACAAGTTGCCTTTTAAAGGTTTCTCCAAAAACTGCTATAAAAGCTCAAAATCCCATATATATATATAAATGTAAAACTAAGATAAAACCAACTAAATAATTTAAATAATTTTTAGAGATAAATATAAATGTAAATTTAAAATTAAATATGGAAGATAAAATTTATCATGAAAGATAACTATTTAAACTTAAAGAGTATATTTAGTAGGAATGACCGGTGCTAATAATCCTAAACTTTTAATATAAAATAATAGAGCGGGTCACTATATGCATCGTGAATGATACATATGTAAGGTCCGTTTAGTTCGTTGATTCGAATTAAGATGTGAATTTATGTGAGAGCTTTTTACTGTAACAAAAAAGTTAGATGTGACTGTTTCTGAAAGCTTTTTCTTATAGCAAAACTCAAATTCTAAATTTGAAATGGTGAAATGAAGAGGGTTGTAGTACTTCGAACAAGGGAAAAAAAATGTCCATCGAGGAACTTTGATATTGACGGGGTATATTAGAGCGTCTGAATTGTCATTTTCTTCTCTTTTCACAATTGTTTTGTCTTTCATTGAATTCAATACCATTTTCAAGTGTTTCCGTATTGTTATGTAACGTGCTGATCACCATAATTTCAACCTGACTACAACAAAAGTTTTGTGTCTGTGTTTTCTGATGTGTATTGGCACTATATGCTCAAATTAGATGTGCTCCCCAGTGATGATAATTGATAAGAATAAATATATATATATATATATATATATATATATCGTTAGGTAGTATCTTTTTTTTTTCATTTGAATGGTAATAAAAAATTTCATTAATATATCATCTTAGGATTCTTGCTATGCTCAAATAACTTTTCCACTGTACTTTCATGTGATGAATCAATGTTATTATTTTTGTCCATTTGGCCAATATGCATATGGGATTTATTTCTAAATGTTATGAAAATCCTTTGCGTTTTAATAGGAATTTATCTCTATAGATACAAAGAGGTGGGCCTCACATGGTAGGATCTACGTAAACCCCACAAGTGGAACCCATCTTTGTAATTGTGTATGATGGGGATAAATCCCTATCGAGACACATAGTGGTGCTCAAAAGTTATTAAATTTTCAAGGAATTGTCAGAATCGGAGGATGTTGTCCATCAAAATGTGGTGTTGTGTCGCTTCAGGGCTCTCAATTATTGGAAAGATGGCGATTTTTTACCCGGCATGTTCCTATAGGGAGGAAAGGAAACATCAGCACAGAAGAATATAGCTTCCACCTAGGAGCAACAAGACTCACAGGAAGAACTAGATACATTGGCAAACAGTGGAATTTTCACTGTAAAGAATTCCACTACCCAAATCCAAGCACAAAGATTATGAGCCAGGAAATGTTTATGTTTGGTTAGAGGAAAAGAAAATATGAAGACAGGATAAGTATAACACCTAGGTGAGATCAAGTGAAGAGAAAAATGGATTTCCTTTCAATCCTTCCAACATCCTGTTTGTTGAGTTCTATCTACTATCAAGCAACAAATAAGTCTTGAAAAATTCAGTTCCTAACCCTCATTAGGCCTCATACTTCTATCCCTCCAACTTTTTCCTCTTACCAAACCAAGCCCTGAAGGGCCTAAGGAATCCAACCAAGAGTGACGCTAGCATTTAGCGTCACTCTTTATATCACTCTCTCTGTCACTTTCTACATTTTCTGTTTGACATGTGGATTCTATTATTTGATTTTCTGTTTAAAAAAGAATATGTCAGAAAATCAAATAGTAGAATCCACATGTCAAACAGTAAATGCAGACAGTGACAAAAAGAGTGACATAAAGAGTGACGCTAGCATTTCTCATCTAACAGATAGAAAACCTATAAAATGATTAGAAAAAGGAAAGGTTGATTGTGAGAAATGACATGAACCACCCCAAGCAGCAGTACCCGAGTCCCCTTAGACACCATGATGAGATTCAAACACAACATCCCTTGAAAAAGAAGGTTTTCTTTTTAAATGTTCAGTCTTAGGAAGTGGTTATCATTCCATTCTTTCTTACATTTGTAATTTTCATATTGCTAGGCATGAATATGTCCCACTGATTTAGAATTTGTATTAGAAAGGTCTAGTATTGTAGTTTCTTGAATCATCAGACCTTTAATGGCCCTGAAAAAGAAAATGGAATGGACCTAGTAAGGTGTAAAATTTGAAACGTTTCTGGTAATTGGTCTGCGAAAGCATAACTCGAATGACTAGCAATAGCTTGGAATTCCAATAGTATTAATTCAAATCATTGTTTTGGTAGAATTGATTTAACAGCACACGGTAGAAAGACGATCAACATCTTCCATAATGCTGTGTCATTCACTAGTACATAGCATCAAGTTGTTGTCATTTAGTGACCGATTAAGATACTCTTTCAAAATTCTGCAGAAATACACTGTTTCTTTTTTTTTTTTCCCCCAAGCAACATGAGAAGTTAGTATTAGTGAAAAGAAAATCAATTTGGAAAAAACATGATCCCACAGTCAGTGGCCCCTTCATCACGGGATTGCCTAGCGCATTCGAGTTTTCATTTTCGTATTTCTTTTTACAGACAACTTACTCTAGATAGATTCATTGTCCTTAATTCATGCATATGTAATAGCTGTATAAATATACTTGACAACATCAATATACGATCATCCTTCTTCTCAATTACCTGATAAGTTTTAGTTAGAAGGTATTCTTTATTATTCACTTAATTTTTTTTTTCGGTTTAATACACTGTTTAGTAGAGCTCACCAACACTAGTATGATCAAATCACAACTTCTGAAACCATGACAACTAGAAAACAAACTAAAGAGACCAAGACATTACCAAAACCATTTATTGATCCACCCTTTGAGACTACCTTGTCTTCTGCAATAAAAGAACCATTGAGAACAGCATATTAGTGCCAAAAACAAAAAGGGTCCAATACAAAATCTTCAAACTTTGGAAAAAAAAAAAGGGCTCTTACTACACTCTTTTGCGTGGCATATGCACCTCAACCCAACGCCACAATTTCCATTAGGCTTTTCACACTCGCTGCAGACATTCGGCGCATGATCAGGAATGTCGAAAGAAATCCTTGTCCCCAATTCGAATCCTTCGAATTCGCCGTCATCATCCGAGGATTCGACCCTGTAGAATCTCCTGTAGTGTGAGCAATTCAAGTCTCTTGGATGAAAACTCATGTCAAGCTTTTCAACGTGATCAATAAGTAAGCAATTAGCAGAAAATCCCTCCTCAACTTCTTTTACTCGAATTTTCGGAGAAGGTCGACATGTTTGTGAACAAGTGTGGTTCCTGATAAACGGTGAAAGGTTTTTTTTACCGTTTGAGCAGTTGAAAAGGAGGAGTGAATTGGGTTGTGGGGGTGTGGGAAAACCAGCTGAGAGAAGCAAAGGAGAGACATAATGAAGTGAGTGAGAACAAGAAGGGTGAGAAATGGTAAAAACTTTGGTTGTGTAATTAATGGAGGATATTGGAAAAAGGCCTAGTGAGGTTCTGTAGTACAGCTTCTGATATTTGCAGAGAAGCATGTGATTTAATGGGATTGACAGATTGTGAGTTTGAATAGAAAATGGTTCTTGAATTGGGATTTGGCCACAGGTTCTTGTCAGAGCATCTTCAGCACAAGAAGTTGCTGAGCAGAAAATGAGAATTATGAGGAGGAAAAGATGTAGAAGGTGGAATTCCTTGAATGCTCTCATGTTGTCCCCTTCTTCTTGGATGGTTTGATCTTTTACACTCTGTAGAATATTGCTGGGTGTATTAGAGCAAATAAAAAAAGACAAGATAGAGAGAGATATGTTTTAGCGCTGTTTAGTTTACTGATTCGAATTTTTAATTTGAATTAAAATGTGATTTTATGTAAAAAAAATTTTACTGTAATAAAAAAGTTAAATGTGATTATTTTTAAGAATTTTTTACTATAACAAAACTCAAATCAATAAAATGAATGAGATTTTAATTCATTTCACCGTTCAAATCACAACTTAAATTTTGTATTATAGTGTTTTTTTTATAAAAATTTAATTTTAATTATTTTTTTATACGAATTTATTTTTTAACTTAAACTTTCAATTTGAATAGTCAAATTAAACAGAAGCTTTTCACTTTTTTGATGGGATAACTTCCACTTTATTAGCTTTTCAGAGCCATTGCTAGCTTTTTTGAAAAAGCCTAAAAGGAACAATGTTTTCTACAATTCAAATTCGAACTCTATTTTTTTTTTTTTTGACCATTTTCGAGTATGTTAGTCCCGTTTATTTTACTAATTTGAGTTTAGAATTCAAGTGTTATTATAGTAAAAAACTCTTAGAAACAGTCACATCTAACTTTTTTACTACAGTAAAAAACTTTAACATAAAATCACATCTCAACTCAAATTAAAAACTCGAATCAATGAACTAAACGGATCGGTATTTCTAGTCTAGTTTTGTCTAACATAATTTCTACTCTTTTTGAACATTATAACAAATCAAAATCACATTAAAATAATAAAAAAAAAAACAATTTGCATAAAATATGATAAAAATTTGAATATATAAGGCTCGTTTAGTTCGCTGATTCGAGTTTTTAATTCGAGTTGAGATGTGATTTTATGTGAGAGTTTTTTACTGTAGCAAAAAAGTTAGATGTGATTGTTTGTGAGAGTTTTTTACTGTAGCAAAACTTGAATTCTAAACTCGAATCAACGAAATGAACGGGGTATCCTACTAATAAAGTAGTTTTTCATATGCTAACCAAAATTTCCAATAATTTCTCCACGTTTGAATTTTAATTTTTATGATTTGAATGAAACATCTTACTGGATTTTTTTTTTATTTTAAAAAAAGGAAAGGAAAATTACAACTAGCTAGGGAGGGACTTTGTGGTATTGGGCATGTTCAGGGGACCTTAACTTTCTTTTTTTCTTTTTTTTTTTTTTTCAGATCCCCTTTTTTGGAATACAGAATACAACCCTTTTCCCCATCCTTTATTCACTTCCTGCTACCTTCTCTTTTTTCTCAAAGGCGTATTGGCCAGTAAGTTCATTAAAAAGAATATATATATATATATATATATATGCATGTATAGACATTAGAAAGAAAATATTATTTCCATTCTCTTTTGAATTTTGAACGTTTTGGTGTGATTTTTTTTGAGGATTTCATTGTGGCAGGCAAGATTGTGAACATGGGGACCACCTCAATTAACGCTAATTAGTTGTTCACGAATGATCATGTAAGCAGACGATAAGGTGTAGCAACAAAGTCAAAAATATGTTCAATTTTGCTTTCTCTATGTCCCCATATGTACTGCCATGTTTCTCAATAGCAGCAGTACTATCAAACACCAACCTTGTTCAGCAACAATTTTTTTTTTTTTTTTTTTTTTTTTTTTTTTTTTTTCACTCCAATAAGTGCCTAATTGCTTGACACAAAAAATCCTACTCTATCATAGGTGAGTCTCATAATGGTATAATATAGTAAAATCACATACTATGAATGTGACAGTTCTAACTTCTATGCTAAGTTGCAACCTAATTAATAAAATCGTCGATTTTATCATTAGTCACGTTTAACACCAATCTTAAATTAGTTCAATTGGTGGTAATATTTAGCACTAAACATTTCTTTATAGCTCTAGTCATTTGGAGGCCCTAAAAGCCCTTTGCAAATTATACAATCTAAGTACCGTATTTGATAGAAGTGTCCAAAAATACATTTATTTATTTATTTTTGAATAAATTCTTTATTTCTTTAGAAAAAAAGTAAGGATTTCTACTCCCATGTCCCTCATTACTACATGACAAAATCACGCACTATCATATTACAATACATGTATAAGTACACTCTCTTTAGTGTATAATTTTTTACGCAAACAAATAATATTCTTGCTTATTGTAGTATACAATTAAAATTGGAATGTTATAGGAAAGCTTTTTTAAAAAAAATAAAATAAAATAAAATAAAAGTATGTTGTACAGGAAGAAGTGATATTAGCCTTTGTATTTGGTAAATACTAACCTCACCGACCAAGGGGAATAATAAATAAATCACCAAACGGCTTGGGAACTTCAATATTGAGTCATCAAACACTATGATCTCCATAAACAAGCATGATTTTTACAAGCAAAAATAACACACCGATCATAATAAACACACAAAAGACAGATTAACACATAAAAACACTATTTCACCTTTGAAATCTTTTCACAATAATATATATATAAATGAAAGCTCAATCGGTTTCTCTAGATTATGCTGGTGCCTTGACGAGAAGAGCAGGGAAATCAAGCAGCACAATCTTGTCAATGGCTGCTGAAAAAGTTGCAGAGAACTCAACATGTTTAGGGTGTCCTTGAAATGCAGCGAAGTCTTCTTTCTTGTTGAATGTCATCAAGAAGGCATGAGTAAAGCCTTGTCTAAGAACGTCTAGGCTTTCCACGTCCTGTCCCCTAATATGATCACAAGAACAGAGCATATACTAAACCTCTGAAACCAACTTCTCCATCCCTTTCAAAACATCATCCACAACCACATCATCCTTGAACTTGACTATAACCAAGTGCTTGAACTCTCCCATATTGGCCTTAACTTTGATCTCTACTATGTACTAAGACAGACACACACATAAGGAGCAAGCAAAACAAGTCCCCAAAGCCCGACATTTATAGTACTACTCACGAGTCACAACACATTGCGTAGCAATTTGTTCATGTGTCAACCTCCACAGTGATATGCTAAGACCGCTCGGTCTAGACTAGTAGCACAGGAGGTTTGTGTAGAAGAGAAATATTATTTTCTACATTTATGCTATGTTTGGTAGGAAGGAAAGAAAATATGATAAAAGAAAATATGGAAGTGATGGAAAATAGCAATGATGGAATGGAAATTGATTTTTTTTTATGTTGTTCGGTATGAAAAGATGAAAAAAAAATGAGCTTACCTTCACTTGTTTGGTATTAGAAGTTAAATTGAGAGGAAAGAAAAAATCTTACTCGTAAATTACTTTTATACCCTTAAATTTTTTGCTTGAATGTTGATAGAGAAAATGATAGTTTAGTAACTTTGCTCACTTTAATGAGTTGCCCCTATTTTCCTTCCCATTTTCTGCCCACTTGTATTATTTTTCACTCTATTTTCTCTTCCTTTCTCTTTTCTCTCCTACCAAACAACCTACATTTTCATTTTTCCTCCTAAAATCCCTCCACCTTCTTCCTTCCTTCTACTTTTCTTTCCTACCAACATACTCTTATGGTTAGATAGGTGACTCTATTATTATATTTTTTGTTTAAATAATAATATATTATTATTAGTGGAGTCCATGTATTAAATTGTGAATGTATAGAGTGATATAAAGAGTGACTCTAACATTTTTCTTAGGTTAAATGATGTCTATAAGATATTGTGGGTAGGGCTGACAATCCGGATAGCAACACGACGACACGACTCGAAACCCGTACGAAATTAACGGGTTTGAGTTTATCATAAATAGGTACGGGTCAAAATCAGGTCGAACTTGTGAAACACAATTAAATAACGTGTCATTTTCAGGTTGACCCGCCAAGCGCAATTGACCCATCATAACCCGTTTATTAAACGTGTCATATTTGGGTAACACGAATACACAACCCGTTTATTACCTGTTTATTACCCATTTTATAAACATGTTCAAAAATAGGTTTAGAAATAAGTTAACACGACCCATTTATCACATATTTTATAAACAAGTTCAGAAATAGGTTAACACGACTCATTTATTACCCATTTTATAAACGGGTTGACAAGTAATCAACGGATTGACACGACATGTTTATGACATGTTTAATAAACGAGTTATTCATGTCGTGTCATGTGAACCCGTTAATATACATGTCGTATTTAGGTTTTGTATTTTGACACGATTAATAAACAGGTCGTGTTCGTGTCAACTGAGGGGGTCAACACGACACGAACACGACCTGCCAACACGAATTGCCACTCCCTAATTGTGGGTTCGATCCCATGTTGTATTAGGACCAGTAATATGGGTCACGTCACGAATTTCGTCGGTTAGGGTTGAGAAAAAAGAGCTTCAGGTCAGAATTGGGTCGACCTAAAATTGACACGAAAAACACGGATCAATTTCAGGTTCGACCCGCCTAACCCGAACACGACACAAAACTAAAAAAAAAACTAAAAAAATACATATATTTTTCATTACATATATTTTATTTTATTAAGAACTTGTGATATCATGATAGTTATACTCAAAATCTTATACTATTATTTGCTTAATTTCAATGGATGTTATTGTATTTTAGTGTATTTTAAATTTTAAATTATTTCTAATATATAAAAAATTAAATAAAAGTATACAATTTTCGTGTCAGTTTCGTGTCACAGGTCATTTTCATGTCGTGTCGTATCAACCTGTAAAGTTATCGTGTCGTGTTCGTGTTGCGATTTTTAAAAAATTTCGTGTCACATATCGTGTTTAGATTGACTATAAATTTAAAAAAAATAATCAAAACACGACACGTGACACGAATTATCACGCATATATATATATATATATATATATGTATATATAATCGACAGTGATATCTGTCTTGTAGTACTGTGTACTCTCTCCCACACACGCCCAATGACGCCGCAATCAATCAGCAAAATGTCGGCTTCTCCTTTCTTGGACAGTAGTATCTACATTTCAATATTTTGGAAAGCTACTGCTTCATAGGCTTCCAAACCAACTTTTGTTTACATAAGCCAATTTAAAGACGAATTTCCAAAAACAACCCCACTTTGTAGGTATGTACACGTCTAACTTTTGTACGAATTATGCGTCATTTTCATCACTAGCATTGATAAAATGTTTAATTAACTGTGTAATTAGCAATTCAAGTCGTCATCTACTTGTAATAATAATGTAATCATTCGCTATATGAAATATGATTTCATGTATAATCATACATGGTGCTCTTCAGCTAGAAAATTTGTTGAAGGGGCTTTAGAGAAGTCAAAATTTGAACCAAATTAAACAGTGCGATGTATATTAAGGCTCTATTTTTTTCGCTGATTCGAGTTTTACTACAGTAAAAAGCTCTCATAAACAGTCATATTTAACTTTTTTACTACAATAAAAAGCTCTCACACAACATTACATCTCAACTCAAATTAAAAACTCGAATTAACGAACCGAACGGGATCTAAAATTCTCATAATTAATTCTTTTTCTTTTATTATGTATCCGTCTATTTTGTTTTTCTTTTATTTTATACATATCTTCTTTTTCTTCCTCCAAATATTTAAATTTAGGTAGCTTAGTATTCTAATTTCTATGTTGGTCTTCAACTAACTCTGAATTCTAGCTATTTATACTTGGAAAATAACAACTACCCCACCCAATTAAATTCTAACACCCCCTAAGTTCTAAAATCTAGGACTTTAAGTTCGCTTATTATGTTACAAAATACATAAACTTGAAATTGTTTTTAGTAAATGGTAATATTGACAAATACCCTTTAAAAGTGCATGGATTAAAAATATTTTTAATTAAATAATTATACTAATAAAATGATATTTATCAAGAATAAGAGATAAAAATTCACTTTAAAATAAAATAAAAATAAAACGAAAAGAAAAGAAAAAAAAATGTCCACCAGTGCAAACCCTCATAGCCTTTGCTTTGGCACATGAAAGGGGTCCCTACAAAGTCTAAACCCTAGCTAGCTTTTTTTTCTGCTATTCAATGTTTTCTCGACATTGTTAGTCCTTCTAGGGCTGGCACACCATCTGCCAAAGGCCATCATCACATTGCATACAAACTTTTTCTTTTATATACATTTTTTTTTCTCGTGTTCCTTAATATGAAATCTAAAATTTGTAAGGCCCTTTTCTGATAGGCTAAAATCTAAAATTAATAAGCCGGTTTATCAGTAGAGTTAGAGGATGTTTGGTACTTAGATTCGTTTTCTTATTCGAATAATGGTTCGTGGTTCGTTACAGTATTTTTTCTCACAAAAAATACACGTAAATTAAAAATAATTCTAATCACATGATTCTAATCTATGAACTAAACGTCTCTTTAATTTTAACTGTTGAATCTGATCACATTAAATTAAAAAAAATATAAAATATATATTTTTTTATATATAAATTTGTCGGTTGAAAAATTCATTTTTTTTTTTTTTAGTTTTATTGGAGAAACTCTTAGATCTGTAATATAATAATGTTCGGACTTTTCTCGGTGTCCTTGCCCATGTGATGGCACTCCAAAGCATGGTATATTGGACTCTAACTCATGGAGGGCATAATGGCATATGAGTACTCATATCTTTAAGGAATCTATTAACTTAGCTAGGACCGTCTTTGACAAGAGGGCATGTAGTGAAAAGTTATAACTTTATGCCCTAAATTATTATATGTGCTTGTTAATTTGTTCAAGGAAAAAAAGAGAGAAACTTTTACGGTGGAAATTATTTAGTGGTATTGTAATTTAGAGGATATTTAGTTTCTAGATTCAGAATCATTCTCAATTTACGTATATTTTTTATGAGAGAAAATACTGTAACGATCCACGAATCATGATCTGAACCATGACACGGATCCTTGTTCTAAACACACCATTAGTAACACCACAGTAAAATGTTATATGGCTAAGAATTGCACACTGCTAGTAGTATAGCAAAGAATTTTTCGAGGGAGTTCTTTTAAAGGTTTCTATGTAAATAGATGTTTGTTTCATTATCTTCTATTTGTTTTGGTTTAAAGTTTAGATTAATTTCTAAAAATTGGAACTTGTAACAATTGTTAACTTTGAGCTTTTATTTGCTCAAACCATGTTTGTTATGTCTCAAACTTTAATATAAATATAATTCTAAGAATAAGGTTATTTTTCGGGTAATCTTGACAAATACTTCTTGAAAATGTATGAGTCAAAATTTTTACCCTTTACTCTTAATTTATAACTTTTTACCCTTTACTCTTAATTTATAAATTTTTTAATCAAATAATTACACTAACAAAAGGGTATTTATGAAAAATAAAGAGTAAAAGTCAAGACTCGTACACTCTTAAGATTATATTCTCCATTTTTTTCTTATTTTTCTGTATAATAGGAATTTATACCCATTACTTCTTGTTTTGACTCCTAAAACAAAAATTCTTAAGGTTATTTTTCTGCCTAATAGTAATTTATACTCATTTCTTCTTTTTTTAACTCCTTAAAGTGAAAAATTCCTACCTTTTAAGCCTTTAATTCTATCTCTTTCGATTCCTAACAAATTCTGGTTTTCCCCATCCTTAAATTTATTGCATATGACCATGTTTTACAACCATAATTGGACTTGACATTTAATTTTGACAATTTGACATATTACTTTTAAATTGTTAATGAATTTATAACATGTAAGCATATTTGGTAAACTTTGTTTTTGTCAAGCTTATTCTAAAAATTGCGATCCAAAATAAAATTTTAAAACTAAGTTAGAGATTGCTTCTTCATAGATATAATTCTTCTTTTGGCATTCACAATGGTTTTGGAAAAAAAAAAAATGTCAAACACCTAGTTTTTTTTTTTTTTTTTTTTTTTTTTTTTTTTTTTTTTTTTAAAATTATTAACATTTGTCTTACAACACAATTGCAACAAATGTTTCAACAACACAAGAAGGCAAACCTATAAATTAAGGCCTCGTTCATTTCACCAATTTGAGTTTTCAATTTTAAGTTTCTACAGTAAAAAACTTTCAGAAAATATCACATCTAACTTTTTCTACTACAGTAAAAAGCTCTAAAAAAATGTCACATCTCAGCTCGAATTGAAAATTCAAATCCGCGAAGTGAACGAGACCACAATCCTATTGAAGTTAGAAACCTCAGAAATATATTTGTCTAGAAATACATTAAAGATTGGGAATTGAGATATAAATACCCTTATTTGATAGAAAACATCTGCTTTTCACTAACAAACGGTTAACTGTTTGCTCCTGGAGTATTCGGGAGAGACATGATTGAACTTTAGAATTGGCTCCTTGTAAAAAGTGTCCTTACTGCTGGGTGTTTCTGGAGGGGCTAAATAGAATTCTTATATATCAACCACAAGTTCAAAGTATAGGACAAACATTATTAATTGTAATTTAGGTCAAAGATTATATCTTCTACTGATTGTGATTTGGGATTAGTGAGACAGTTACATGACAACAAAAATTTATAATCAATGTTACATTGTTTTGACCAAATTCTAATCAATGTTTTTATGTCGAGTAATTATTGAAGGCTCCAGCTAATAAGACTACTGACTAACTTAAATAATTTAGGCTCAATTTGGCATTGCTGGTTTGTAATATATTTCTTGTTGGTTTTTTGGTTTTTTTTTTTAAAAAAAAATCATATTTCTTGTTGTTGTGTTCGTGTCAGTTAAAAAAAAATGCTATGACCATAAGCTTCCGTAGCAAAAAAAATTAAAAAAATTTAATTAGCATATAGACATTTGGGAGATTTGTTTTCCAAACCTACTGTGAATTTCAAAAGCAAAAATTAGACGTTTGTCGAACTATAGATTGAAATGTTGTGGATATGTATGATCAAATATATACGTTTAATTTTGAGTTTGAAACAAAATGGAACATATATTTTTTATTTTTTATTTTATCTCTTGTTTACGACAAAAAATTCTAAAAAAAAAAAAAAAAAAAAAAAATCATTTTAATGGTATTGTCTCAAATATATGTAGAACTTGCAGAATTTAAATAATCATTTGTTGCATTACAAGAAACGAAACTGTAGCGTTAAAACTGTGAACAAGATAAGCAACTAATATGAATAGAAAAGTAAACTACCAAATAAGCAAACTGCCTAATTATCACTCATAGAAAACTTACTGAAATAGTTTTGAAAACTTATTAAACTCGAATAAAATATTAAGAAATAAAACTTAATACTACCTTCTATATTATTCTTCTTTAATTATTTAATAGCTCCTAACATTAGAATGATAAATTGCAAAAGAATTAAGACTAAAAAGTAAATTAAGTAATTATCCATTTGTTAATAGGATAATTCTATTTACACATCCCTCTTATATAATTTTGAATGATTAAATTTACTTTTTACAAACCTCTTATTATTCCAAAGATACCCCTAACTATTATCATAAGATTAATAATTCTTAACCACTTCATATTTCTTTTCACATCCACCATTTCATTTTTACTCTTACTTTAATATTACCATTTCTATACCTCCTTTTATTTCCCCCTCCGCTAAGACTAAAGCTATAGGCATGAAGCCATCTTTTCATTTACAAAACAAAGAAAATGGCAAAAGAAACGATTCCATAAAAGTTAAATAGATAGAAAGACAAGTCAAAAAATAAGTAAAAGTAAATAAAGAAAAAAATGAAAAAAGAAACAAAACAAAAGGCAACCGAAAGAATCGTAGATACCAAAGGCATGAGGCAATAATAATAATAATACAAAAGAGGGGAAAAAAAAAACTCTATCATCAGCTTTTTTTATATAAAAAATTTAAACTATGTAGTTAGATATATCATAATTGTCCTTTTTTTGTAATTTTATATGTGAGCATTTTGTAACAAGAAAGTTTGATTTAAAGGGGGTGTGGAGAGTCAATAAGGGTGTGTAAAATCACCTTTGTTAATATTATACAAAGGGAGAATGAGTGAAATAAACATACCTCATAACGTACTTGATAAATTATAGCATAATTTTTTTAAATAGATAAACTATAGCATAATTTGATATCTCAAGTTTTCAACATTATTAAAAAGTCAAAAATACCCCTAACCCCTCTCCTTCCCCCTCTAGTCAAGTCTACCATGGCCGGTGCAAAGTAGAATTCTTATCTTTTTTCTTTCCTTGCTCAGAATTCTTATCTTTTTTCTTTCCTTGCTCCGGTCTATGAGGCCGAGGGACTCGTTTGCTGCTAATCTAGCAAAGTTATAACTTTCAGTAGCAGCGAATGAAAAATCATTGAGTTCCTCCCCTATCAATAAATAAATAGATAAACAAAGGGACCTACCAAGTCGATCTCTAATTCTGTTCCGGCTGTTGCAGCTGTTCAGTTGAGGAAAGTCCTTGAGACTTTCGTAGTTTCAAAATTCGTCTGCGATGACTACGGCCCTGTTTGTGCTGTTCCCACTCGTGTGCTCCTCTAAGAACTCTATCCCCACAAGCCTACAAATAGAAAGGTCAAATGAAAACTTAGCATCCCAATCTAAAGAATCCCTAATTCAGATGATTTGAATCATGGTTCGCGGTTCGCTACAGTGTTTTCTCTCACAAAAAACACACGTAAATCGAGAATGGTTCTGAATCATGATTCGGAATCCATTAACCAAACGTCCACTAAATGAAACAAGACGCAGAAAACAAGCCAATAGTGACAATCCCCTTATTCATAAGCACTGCGTCACTAACCTTGCAAATGTACTGAGTCCACAATCCCCTTTCCAGCAGTTTTGTTCTGGTGTCATTTGGAGCCTCCTTACCAGGCATTGAACTAACTTCCTGATCAAGGAAAGATCTTACAATTTTCGTAGCGGGTTCAACCACCTGTTCTGCCCATATATCATCTGATTTGCCTACAATGTATTATAATTACTTTTTGACGGAAAAATATGCTAGTTAAAGGTACCATCATATGTGAAGTAAATACATAAGAACAAGGCTCCATAGGACCATACTCAATATGGACTCTGTTGCATCCATGAAATGTATGTCCCATCCAAACAATTTCTGCAGCCGAATAATCCTCCTTCTCTGTAAAACAAGATAAGTTTTATTATGGCATTTACTAAATAAAAAAATTAACTTACTGAATAATTCCATATCAGAGTGTGGTTGAACTCTATGAACGTAATTAGAATTTGGAGGAAAAAGACTTTGGGTTTTATAACTGCTTATATATTGTAACATGTCAATTAAAGTTCGACAAAATCAAACTGTCGCCAACTAAGCTTTTTTTTTTTTTTTTTTTTCTCGTGAAACAAGAAACTTATATTAAATATAAAGAACTATGCACAACCAAGAGAGGAAGAGGTATTGTCGGGAAAATAAAAACAAAACATAAGCATGACGACTACACAACAAAAATTAATCCCAACTCCTAATAAGATCAAAGAATAGTTTGGTTGGAGGATTCGTACCCCGATTCGAATCATGGTTCATAGTTCGCTACAGTATTTTCTCTCACAAAAAATACACGTAAATCGAAAATAGTTCTAATCTTATGATTATAATCCATAAACCAAACGTAAGACTTATAAAATCCTTATCCTTATGGACCCAAACTGCTACCGAAAATTTAATCCTATCCCAAACGACGGAACAATCTTCCTTGCGGCCCTAAAAAATTTTACAGTTTCTTGCGGACCATATCTCCCAAAAGATAGTTAATACAGCAGTTTGTTCTAGACGTGATAGATAATACTTAATACAGCAGTTTGCCCTAGACGTTCCCTTCTTTTGTTGGATCCAGACCAGGAGGATACACACAACTCCTTACAAGTCCTGGGGAAAGGAAAGACCAAACTCTTTCAACAAGAGGCACCATATTCTATAGGAGAAACTAGAAAGAGCAATGCAAAAACTGGTGGTCAGCTGATTCACTGCCGCTCTTGCACAACATACACCAACCTGGAGAATTGAGACAAACAGTCTCTTGCGTGGCATTAAATCATGTGTTCAATTTGTCAAGAATTTAAAGCCAACAAAATACTTGAATTTTTGAAGGAATACGGGATTTCCAAACAAGATCAAAAGAATCACAGGGGGTGGCATTAGCGATGCTAATCAAGAAAGAAAAGAATGATTTAACAGAGAAAAACCCCAAGGGATAAAGTTTCCACACTCGCCTATCCAGAATCCCATTCGAATGGTGAAATCTGTCGAAATTGGAAACCCGCTCCAAAGCCAAAGCTTTATCTCCCTTTGTAATGAATGTTACAGCAGAGGGAAAAACAGTTAAGAATATGCAATATGGCCTTATTTAGTAGGAGAGACGAGAGTCAACCTTAAGCTCAAGTTTCAAGATTTATCAATACTGAAGGCACAACATTAAGGTTTGCAGAGTTCTTCTGACATTCAAAGAATTCCTAGAATGCAACGGATATTGCAGAGCAAAGGCATCAACAAATTAACTTTCTTCATGTTGAGGCCGCGTTTGGATTTAATTACACTATCCGAAATTTACTAATTAGATTTACATTACTTTTGGAAACTATTGGCTGAAATATCATGCAAGAGGATGTTCTGATCCAGCTCTCAAATGATATAATTAGGCGCCTAATAATTTTACCAGTATAACTTATTTCTGAAGTGAAAATGGTTATAACAAAAAGATATTTTTCGACAAGAGAATACAAAAAAGGTTTTTAGTGCTATCCGCCGTTATAGTCCCTAGACCATTTTTTAGTCAAACTTGATATTTTTGGCAATTTTCAATCCTAAATATGGAATTAATGGTAAATATTTCCAATTCAACAAAGATAGTCACCTGCCCATCGCATAATAACTTGAAATTTTACAGCCACGTAAAGTGCAAAATGTTTTAAATTTCAAAAGCTCTCAAGGGCATTGAAGAGAGCATTTGTGCACCATATGTGATGGGTTTTGCAAAATTTCTTGTCACCACGCGATAGACACATGATTACAGCCATCAAGTTTTAAAAATTCAACATCAATTTTATAAAAGGGGCAAAAACTGTCAAAAAAAAAAAACTTTGGGAGTCATCAGAAAAAGAAAACGTTTAAAGACCAAACTGTCATAACGTTAATAGTCTAGCGACCAACAGAGCCAAAACCTTTATAACAAACCATGTATGCATGTAAAAATATATCTTTACCTGACGACGAATGAGTCTTCGAGTATTAAGTTTGACTTTGTCGATTGCTTCTTTTAATAAAATCTTGGGCTTGCAATCATAAGGGGACTTAAGCATCACCCTCATATTCTCCTTCAAAATATTATCACCCGTGTCCACCGACTTCAGGGTGACGGAGGCATCAGTTGAATGAATTTCATGATTACAACCGTCTTTGGCAATGTAATCTCTCAAAAACTTCTGAAATTCCCGAACACCAATAGCTTGCAACAAACCTTGAGTATAGTCCGTACCAACATTGAAAATATCATAGACTTCATTAAGCAATCCAGCATCTACCATGCAATCGACTCTTTGTTCCACATATTGATCCAACACAGGGAGAGATGCATCCATACATATGAAACAACAATTGTATCTGAAATTGTCAACTTTACCCCAGTTCTGCCCTGCCACGTGCAATATTATTGATAATATCAAAAAAAAAAAAAAAAAAAAAAAAAAAACACAAAACAAAAAAAACAAAAACAAAAAAAAAAAAAAAAAAAAAAAACAAGACATCAATGAGAACAACCAAAGACAAGTTCTGGATTCCAGACTTCAACAGTTTAACCATCCAATCTTGGTAAGCATTTGTAAAAAGAAACATATAGAAAGAGAGATGGAAGGCCATATGCAGATTTTCACTCAGTTTAAGAAAGATTGCATCATTGGCAACGATTTTTCAGAATGAGAAACACAAGGTCAAAAATAATACTCTAACATGATGATAAACAATAAATATACATTTACAAAGATAACAAACCTCTACAGCCTTCCCCTGAAGAAGTTCACTAGGGAGAATGCCAGAACGAGCATACAAGCTTAGGTATTGATTAATCTGCAAAAAGATGAAGATAAAATTTATTCAAACAGTTGCATATATGAATACCAATGATACAAGTCTCTCTAAACACCAAATGCATCATTCTATTCAGCAAACAGCAATCAGAACTTTAAATCTTTCTCATTAGTTAATAATTTCATAGAAGATCATATATAGACATCGTCAAGACAACAACAATATTGAAGAACAATACTCTAGCACGTATGCGCCATAAACGGAAAAACATTCAATTCAGAGAAGCACTCAAATCTACTTGATGACATAACTTAGGACAGTAGTCTTAATAAACATTGTTTGGAACCTTAATCTGACAGTTATGAATTTGAGGTAACAACAAATTAAGTATTTCATAGGCTCTCCACCATATATGCAAACTGAAATTATGAAATAGCAATTAATTGAAAAGAAAAAAAAAAAGTATTGAAGTGCGACATGTCCACTTCTTAAGAACAGTTGACGAGTGATTAACTGCTGAATTTGTTGCCCAAAACAATTTCTTTTACCTCAAAAATGTCCTTTTGTAAGTTTAATTTCATTGGAAGATTTCCAACATTTTAAACTAAACCAAAATGAATGTATTGAAATTCATATATATTACCAATGAACTTTTTCATATGATTAGAGATGAGAACAGAGTAGTTAAAAAGACAACCAATCAAAAACGCATCAGCAATGAGATATATGCAGAAGAAACTATATAGCACGCTGGTAATGTGCTCCAGAAAAAAAAAGGGGTGCTAAAAATGTGTTTCGACGGGAGCACATAGTTAAAGTATTCTGAGATTCGAGGGTTACAAAACAAACAGATACACGTGAACACAGGCAAGCAATAAAAGAACCCTCGTCTACAAATTTCACGGACAAAACACATCAGAAACCCGCGGCCTACCTTTCTATGATTGTTTGGATGGATTCTATTTGCTGCAATTGGATCAATGCTTTTAAGATGGTTGTAGCTATCACTCCTCCGATCATCGTCCATCTTACAACATAATTCTGCATCTCCTACATGTAAGACAGACACAGTGAAGCCTTAAGTACTAAAAAATTTGAATATGAAACATTTGAAAGAGAAGAGTTGCTACCTGGAGAGATGCTAGAGCAATTATCGTCCATATCTTCCACCGTGTCATCTAAAAGGAATGGACTTATAAGAGCCTGAATAAAGTAAACACACGGAAGTAAGTAAATAATGAACAAAGTGAAACGAGGAATGAAATAAAATTCAATGAGAAAACTCTACATAAAGGATCACAGTGTTGCATGTCATTGGAAAGAATTATCTCCATGCACATCCAAAGATATTCAGTAACAATATAGTAGTTATTAACAGGACTCGTTTGTGTTTTAGATTTTGTACTTCTTACTTGTTATTGAGGATACCTTTTACTCCTTTCCTTGTATCATGATTTATATATCAATATAAGGAACTTTTCTCATCAAAAAAATAGAACTCATTTGTGTTAATGAAGATTTTACCAACATTTCAAAATACTACTGCCGGTCTTGCAATTGAAAAAAAAATAAAGTAATTCTAAAAGAAGGAATGGCAGAGTCATGTAGTGGGAAGGCTAGTAAGCTTTCGAGCAGTAGTGAGTGATGGTGATCAATGCCCAAAAAACTTTATTACACCAGGTTTCCAATAACCTCCACCGGCTTATATATATATAATGATCATAGGATCATAGGTCTTTGTTTTGGTTTTCTTGTAATGATTCACCTGCTTTGTTTGTATTTCTAGATTGTTTTTGTTTTTTGGGATGGATAGCTCATCCATCTTCTTGTGGTAATTTTTGTTTGTTTAATAAAGTTTTCAGTTTCCCATCAAAATATATATATATATATAATGATAAATATTTCTAGGGGCCGTTCACTTCACTAACTCATTTGATTCGAGTTTAAAAATTAGATTTGAGTTGCAAAAAATTTGAGTTTAATTTGGAATTTGAAGTTTAGTGTTGACTGATTTAACATTTAAAAATTGAGTATTGTGTTTACTTGCACAAATGTCAAACTCCAATTATAGCCCAACATTGGCATGCATTTAAGTTCTCTAAAACGTGAACATTCTCCCAATTAGCACAAAATCAATTGTTCTTCATAAATATATATATATACATATATATATACAAACAAGTAATAATCTATCCATTATAAAGGCAACAAACCCATTCTAAAGAAAGTCCAACTTCTGGTCCAATAAGTTAACAAATGCATCTGAATATATGGTTCTCAAGTAATACATAAGTAATAATCTATCGATGGCGATTATTTTCGAATGCAGTCCTCATAATATTGGCTATTTCGTCCCTCAATATATTCATTTGTCGTCGTTGCAGACGGTTATGATGTTGTTGGGTTTCCCGATCCGGATTGTGATTCTGATTCACATCTTGATCCACGTTGAGTGGATCAATTTCTACAACCGGAACGGCGTCCCTCATGTAATGAGTGAGTAGATCATCATTGTGGTTATACATATGTATGAAATTGTGTATAATGGCATAAGCAAGTGGAATGGTTATCTGTATCTCTATTAGGTAGTTATTAATGCACTTAAGTACGGAACCTGACTTTCCACACGCCGAATGTGTGCTTGTCCGCATTCATATTCCTAGTCGGTCTTAAAAGCCCTTTAAGCTCAAGCAACGAACTAAGACGCTTAAAACAATCACTACTCATTCTAATTTTTGACCTAATAACGTCCTCATGTCTATCAAGTAGGTATTTGACAGGCATTGTACCTGTGAGTGCGGAAGTATGCTTTGACTGAGGTAATGGTCTTTTCATATATGTGTAGTGTCAAAATATCAAATGGGAGAAAAAGTTAATTCTTTCATACGGCCAATAGGTTACAAATAGGCTCAGATATATACACGGCTGCAACCTAAAGAATAGGAATGAAATCTCTACAAAATAGGAAACTATCTAAACAGAATATACAGTTAACAAAATCTCCTAGAAATCAAGAAATCACACATAATCCTCTATAGTCACACAGTTTCCTAATAAGGCTGCATAATTCAACACTCCCCCTCAAGTTGGTGAATGTATATCCTTCATTCCCAGCTTGCTGACAATGTCTCGAAATGCTGTGCCAGGCAGTCCCTTTGTAAGCACATCTACTCGTTGATCCTTTGTTGAAACAAACGGAGTGCATATCAACCCACTGTCAAGTTTCTCTTTGATAAAGTGTCTGTCAACTTCAATGTGCTTCGTTCGATTATGTTGACCAGGATTATGAGCAATACTGATTGCTGACTTGTTGTCGCAGTATAGTTTCATTGGTCCTTCCCATTTTATCTTCAAATCATCAAGAACTATCTTCAACCATAGTAGTTCGCATATTCCCATTGCCATAGACCTAAACTCGGATTCTGCACTTGATCTTGCCACCACGTTTTGCTTCTTACTCCTCCACGTTACAAGATTTCCACCTAGGAAAGTACAATAGCCCGAAGTTGACCTCCTATCAACCAATGATCCTGCATAATCTGCATCCGTATAGGCCTCCAGTGCCATACCTTCTCCTTTCTTGAATAAAATACCTCTTCCGGGATTGCCCTTCAAGTATTGCAAGATTCTATGAACGGCCCTAAGATGGGACTCTTTAGGAGTGTGCATGAATTGGCTGACAATACTCATTGCAAATGTAATATCTGGTCTAGTATGTGCCAAATAGATCAACCTCCCAACAAGTCTCAGATAAGAGCCTCTATCCACCACAGGATCCTCTGGAGCATCACATAGTCCATGATTGAATTCAATGGGTGTGTCAACCAGCTTACAGCCCAACTTCCCTGTTTCCTTTAGTAAGTCAAGCACGTACTTCTGTTGAGAGATAAAGATCCCTTGCTTTGAATGTACCACTTCAATGCCTAGGAAGTATTTTAATTTTCCAAGTTCCTTGATATCAAATTCTTTGAGCAGACATCGCCTAAAGTCGTTAATCTCTTCTGCATGTAGGGCCATCAAATCACGTTACCCAAAACGATGATAGTTATGACTCGGACGACGAATATGAGATTGCGGCAGTAGTAGTTGTTTTGTGGTATTACTACACATATATGGAAAGACCATTACCTCAACCAAAGCATACTTCCGCACTCACAGGTACAATGCGTGTCCAATACCTACTCGATAGACATGAGGACATTATTATGTCGAAAATTAAGATGGACAATGATTGTTTTCAGCGTCTTAGTTCGTTGCTTGAGCTTAAAGGGCTTTTAAGACCGACGATGAATATAAATGTGGACGAGCAACTTTTTATTTTCCTCCACATTGTCTGTCAAAGTTCAAATAACAGGGAGTCACAAGATCAATGGCAGCATTCAGGTGCTACCATTTCAAAGTATTTCCACGCCATTTTGACGGCGTTGTATGAGCTCCGTTTTGACTTACTTAAACCGCCAAACTTCAATTTTATCGATCCCGTCGTAGCCGCGCATGGAAATAAATACTTACCATGGTTTCAGGTATAGTGCCTCAACTTATTATTCTATTTGACAAACTCGCTGCCATAAAACTTAATGGCGTTTATATGCCGAGATGTTGTTGCTTATGTTAGTTAGTTACTATGTAGAATTGTGTTGGCACTCTTAATGGGACTCACGTACCATGTGTTCCACCACCTTCAAGTCCCGAAGCATGAAGAAATAGGACAGGGTTCTACTCTCAAAATGTGTTAAGGGTCTGCTCGTTCGACATGAGGTTCACCTACATGTTAGCTGGATGGGAGGGCTCTGCTCATGATGCACGTGTGCTCGCATCCGCAACGGAGATGTCAGCAAAAAATTTCCCATATCCACCACAAGGTATGTTTACGCTTGGTCTTTACATAACTTTTCATTACTAAACGTTTGTGCTTACATGTGGAACTAATATATTCACGAAATGTCTTCTAACTCACATCACAGGTAAATATTACCTCATAGACTATGGGTATGCAAACAATGATTGTTTCTTGGCGCCGTACCGGGGGAGCACTTACCACCTTCAAGAGTTTCGGGCAAGGCGTAGTCGGCCCCAAACTAAGCGTGAGTTGTTCAATTACACCCATTCTTTCCAAAGGAATTGTATCGAGCGCACATTCGGCGTGTGAAAAGCCAAGTTCCGTATACTTAAGTGCATTAATAACTACTTAGTAGAGACACAAATAACCATTCCACTTGATTGTGCCGTTATACACAATTTCATACATATGTACAACCACAATGATGATCTACTCACTCAGTACATGAGGGACACCATTCCGGTTGTAGAAATTGATCCACTCAACGCAGATCAAGATGTGAATCAGAATCACAATCCGGATCAGGAAACTCAACAACATCGTAACCGTCCGCAACAACGACAAATGAATATATTGAGGGACGAAATAACCAGTACTATGTAGACTGCATTCGAAAATAATCGCCATCAATAGATTATTACTTATGTATTACTTGGGAACCATATATCCAGATGCGTTTGTTAACTAATTGGACCAGAAGTTGAATTTTCTTTAAAATGGGTTTGTTGCTTTTATAATGGATAGATTATTACATGTTTGTATATATATATATATATATATATATATATATATATATATATATATATGTTTATATATATTTATAAAGAACAATTGATTTTGTGTTAATTGGGTGAATGTTCAAGTTTTAGAGAACATAGATGCATGCCAATGTTGGACTGTAATTAGAGTTTGACATTTGTGCAAGTAAACATAAAACTCAAGTTTCAAATGTTAAATCAGTCAACACCTAAACACAAAACTCTAAATTCTAAATTAAACTTAAATTTTTTGCAACTCAAATCTAATTTTTTAACTCGAATCATAAATTTGAGTTAGTGAAGTGAACGGCCCCATACTAAACCCAAAAAAAAAGAGAGAGAAACAACAGAGAAAACATATATATAAACACAATGATACTATATGAACCTATTTGATTGATTGCCAAAATGAAACAGGTTTATACCTGAATATAGTAGTTTGTACCCCCAACTATGACCGGCAAGCAGTTACGAGACAGGATGTCATCAATAAGCTGGAAATCCGCATTCTCAGAAATTTACAACATGAAATTAAGGACAAAAAAAAAGTATATATAGAACCCAAAAGAAGAAATCCAAATTGAGTACACAAATTGCATGATTAATCAAGAATATCCTAAAGTTCGAACTCTAAACCCTAACTTCAGAAGGAAAAAAGTGAGCTAAAACATACAGGAATAGCAGAATCCCGAAATTCTTTAGCCGTGAATTCCACATTAGGGCTCATTGCCCCCAAAAGATGATGAAGAATTCCTACACAATTTCAAACCAAATTTCACAATTTCAAATTTTCGAACTAAAAGTCGAAGTGAAAACAGAGACGAAGCGAGATTGGCACGAGAAAACTTACGAACCTTTTTGTTCGTCGAGAGGAACCTTGTTGGTGAGAACATCCAAGCCCCGGTATACCTGCATGGAATCGGCGTTGATGACCTCGACCGGGAAATGAGAGCCCAAATCTATGGCCAATCGCGACTTTCCTGAACCTGTGGGTCCCATAATCACCACAACTTTCGGCTTTGGCTTGTGTTCGCCATTGCTAGGGTTTCTGATTTTCTTCATTTCAGTCCGACTGTCCATCTCGAGCTTTGCAGTAAGTTAATCCCCGTTTTCATCATTTTATACTTTAGGCATTAAGAAAAACGACACAAACATTAAAGGGCGCCTTGAGGGGACAAAATTTTAGAGAAACGACGGCGATGATACATGAACAACATCTTTTCTTGTTCACTGAATCGGCAAATTTTAAGGTAGGTTCATAGAACAAGAGAAAAATATTATAGTAAAAAAGTTAAGGAGACGTTTGATTAATGGATTAAAATTATGTGATTAAAATTATTTTTGATTTACGTGTCTTTTTTATAAAAGAAAACACTGTAATAAATCATGAACTATGATTCAAATCATAGTTTGAATCCTCCAACCAAACATCCCTTAAATTTAAATTTTTGTAAAAAAAAATACTGTAACAATAAAATTTAAGTTATGAATTGAGCTATGAAATCAAAAGACTTGGGCCCATTTAGTTCGTTGATTCGAGTTTTTAATTTGAGTTGAAATGTGCTTTTATATGAAAGTTTTTTACTGTAAGCAAAAAAGTTAGATGTGACTGTTTCTGAGAGCTTTTTACTGTAACAAAACTCAAATCAGTGAAATGAACGGTTTATTAATCAACCCATTAGGTTGGACAGAATTGAGAGGATATAAATTGGGTAATTTTTAAAAATGCCCCTTAAAATTGGGTAATTTTTAAAAATGCCCCTTACAATTGGGTTTTTTTTATTTCTATCCTTTAATATTAGTTTATATATTTTTATCTTTTAGATTAAAATTTAAAACTAGTCGAGATATATAATTTTTTAAAAAGAGTACTTTTAGTAAGTCATATACTTAATAAGATATAATTTGAAATTTTGCAATAAAAAGATTGAGATTTTTTCAATTTAATAGTTACAAATCAGATTTTGGATTGAGCAATTTCAATCTATGAATTCGAATTATATATGTTTATATATATATTCAAATAGTTTTATAGAAGTTTGACTTTTTATAATGGATTGTAATAATTTAGTTTGTTGTCGAAAACTCAAATTCAATTATGTGGCACTAACAAATTATTTTACATGATGGTGTGTTGATTTTAATTTCAAATTTTTAATATGAATTTATGTTAATATTATAAAAAGAGGCATATAAGAGTCTAAATTTTAGTCTAGATACCCAAATCATAAGCTCAACCCACAAAATCTAATTTTTTTTGGAATATTAGAATTGGATTGGGAGACCTAACAATTCGAAAGTTATGCATTGGATTGCAAATTAATCCTCCCAAACCCTATTATGAAGTTAACTTCACACAATGTCAATTTTAATAACTCAATTTTAAAAAATATAAACTTTCTCATAATATTACAATTTTGTCTGAAAAAAATAGTTTGTGTTACTCATGTTGCACTTTTTGTATATTTTGATATTGATCGTTATTATAAAGTCTCAATCTTTATGATAATGACAATAGTTTAATATTGTACATAAAAATATGATCTCTCAAATTTATAGTCTTATTCATTATTATAAAATTCATAAGGGCATATTGTACATAAAAATTCGGCCTTTTTAAATTTATAATCGTATTTCTTCATTATAAAGTTGCAATTTGTATACTTTTATTGTTAATTGTTATAGACTTTTTATTGTTCAATTTTCACTAATTATGATGATGATTATAATCATAAAATTGTCGTCTTTGTGATGATGAATACATTTGCATTAAATAAAAAAGAGTTATGGGGAACAATTTAAAATTTAAATGGTAAAATGAGATTTTTAAAGTCCGGAGAGTAAATTGAGAACAATCTTAAAGTTTAGAGACATCAGTAATAATAATCTAAAAAAAACAAAAAAAAAATATGTTTAAGTGGGTAAATGTTAAAAACTCAAATAAAAAGCGCACAAGTTTCTAAAGTTTTAACAAATCTGATGGGCAGAAACAAACGATAATATTACAAAGAAAATGACACAAAACGTCAAAGATGTTGTAGGTTGGTTGCCCCACTTCATTATTTGAGTTGAAAATCTCGCATTGCAGCCTACAAAACATGCATACTTTACTATGAGACACACAAAAAAAAATTTCGGTGGATTAAAGTCGCTCCTTTTTTATATGTCCCTTTCTATCTCTAGGGTTTCTTTTTTTTTTCTTTGTGCTGCTCACTTTTCTCTTTTAGGGTCAAAGTTCGGCATCGCCTCTTGGTTGGTTGTCAGAACCCCGGCCTTAGAGACGGACTTCTAGGTCTCATGAGTAATGATTATGGTGGTGGTGGTGACTTCGTGGGCAGAGGGGAGAGATAGTAAGTACTTGTTTTTTGGTCGACCATGTTGTGCATGCCAAATCTTTGGCGTATCTACAATCTCAAAAATATCGCTCTTGAGTCATGTGTGTCCTCACCGATCTATCCTTTATGATCTAGTGGCCATCATATCGCCGATGATCTTAGTGGCCATCTTATCACCGATAATTTTGTTTATGTGGCCGAGAAATTTTGTCTTACTTTTAATTTTGATTTTGATATAATAAAGGTGATGTTGATTCCACCATTTTAGTTTATATGTTTTCATCATGTAATAATGAAAGTTGTCATTCCACCTTTTTATAGTGGTGGTAGGTTTATCTCGTTAGATTTGATTCTATGCGGTGTTGTGAGTGACCTTAGTGCTATGGGTCTTTTGGTCTCGGTCGACTAGTTTTATCCATTGTTACGCCCTAAAATAGGGGTGACGTGGATACTTGTTTAGAAATTAAACAAGATTAAGAAAGTAATTAAACATTTAATAATGCTAAAATCAATTTCAAAGATAATATATTTAAGAATTTCCAAACAAACCTCACTATTTTAAAGAAATGAAGTTTTAGAAAGAGTGAGTTGGATTTCACAATTCCACAATAAAACAAAGTCAAAGTTCAAAATTAAGTCTCTGGCATCGTGTCAGGTTTCCCCCACAGGAAATCCATATTGTAGCATACATAAACATAAATAGATAATAAATATAGACATCAACCACAGTTTAGGAGAATTTAAGACTAGAATCCATAAAGTTATACATGCCTTAGAAGTATGCGACAAGGAAGGAAGTAAATTACAACTTCTTCACTTCTTGAGTTCGGCTAACGTTACCAGTAGTCACTATCTACTCAGCACTACTTCTAGCTTCGCCTAGGAGGGGTATAATACATTGAAAAGAGAGGAAAAATGAGCGAAATACCCAATAAAATATAAGTTCATAAAACTTTTATCAATTAAAAGAATACACAGTCTAAACTTATCATTTGGAACCAAACATCATTTTAATAAAAAAAAATAAACATAAATTCTAAATTTCATATTACAGTAAGTGATTTATAAAATTATGATAAATCACTTATCTTATCGCAAAACTATAATATCACCACCAAAAAACCCGTACGGATTTCAAGACTTAGTCTTTAAGAATATGATCTCCATATCCTAATTTCAAAGCCATCAGGGATTTCACCGGTTTTTAAAATATCTGATTTTAAAAAAATATCAATTTAAGAAAAACGACACAAACATTAATCCATATAGGTGAGTTTATTTTTAGGTTCCACCGCAAGGTTGCCTACAAAATAATCCATATATCTGTGATTCCGCGAAAACAAAGTAACCAACAGGAAATCTATCATCGTGCCTCTTCGTTACTGGGGTCGCTGCCAATCAGCACTGAAAAAGCTTTTTCAGAGAAAACTGCAAAGAAACTTCGATTTCCGAAACTCAATCTTCAAAAACGGTAAGTTTCGTTCCAGAAACTTCCATTCTGATACTTTTCATCGAACAATAAACCCTAACCCTAATGAAGCGACCGGTCGACGACCCTAGCCTCAACGGCGTCGCAAAGAAGCCGGTGTTCCTCACCAAAGCCCAGCGCGAGCAATTGGCCCTCCAGCGCCGCCAGGAAGAGACCGAGGAGCAGAAACGCCGCCAGCAGCTTTTGCTATCCCAGGCTAGATCTTCTTCTTCCTCCGCCGCCGCCGCCTTTGTTTCCGATTCTCCGGCGAGCAACAATGACTCTCACAAGCCCTCCGATTCCGACCGCCGCGACCGCGACAGGGACCGAGAGAGGGAGAGAGATAGAGATAGGGATAGGGATCGGGACAGGGACAGGGACAGGGACAGGGACAGGGACAGGGAGAGAGATAGGGATCGGTTGGGCCGCGATCGGGACCGTGATTCGGAGAGGAGGAATCGCGAGAAGGAGCGCGAAGAGGAGGTCAAGGGTCGGGACAGGGCGCGCCTGGAGAAATTGGCCGAGCGAGAGCGCGACAAAGAGCTGGACTCGATCAAAGAGCAGTATCTGGGATCGAAGAAGCCGAAGAAGCGGGTTATTAAGCCAAGCGAGAAGTTTCGGTTCTCTTTCGACTGGGAAAACACTGAGGACACTTCTAGGGACATGAATTCCCTGTACCAGAACCCTCACGAGGCTCAGCTTTTGTTTGGACGAGGGTTTCGTGCCGGCATGGACCGCCGGGAGCAGAAGAAGCTCGCGGCGAAGAACGAGAAGGACCTCAGAGAGGAAATTCGCCGGAAGGAGGGGATTGAAGAGGGGCCTGAGGAAGCCGCTGCTCAGAAGCTTAAGGAAGAGGCTGCTGATCTCTATGACACGTTTGACATGAGGGTTGACCGCCATTGGAGCGAGAAGAAGCTTGAAGAGATGACGGAGAGAGATTGGAGGATTTTCCGTGAGGACTTCAATATTTCCTACAAGGGTTCAAGGATTCCTCGCCCTATGAGGAGCTGGGCTGAGAGTAAATTGAGTTCTGAACTGCTAAAAGCCGTGGAGAGAGTTGGCTATAAGAAACCGTCCCCAATTCAGATGGCGGCTATTCCGCTTGGATTGCAGCAGCGTGATGTTATTGGGGTTGCTGAGACTGGTTCCGGTAAGACTGCTGCTTTTGTTCTTCCTATGCTGACCTATATCTCGAGGCTGCCTCCAATGAGCGAAGAGAATGAGGCGGATGGGCCTTATGCTGTGGTGATGGCACCGACTCGTGAATTGGCGCAGCAGATTGAAGAGGAGACTCTTAAATTTGCACATTTCTTGGGCATCAAAGTGGTGTCCATTGTTGGTGGGCAGTCGATTGAGGAGCAGGGGTTCAAGATTAGGCAGGGGTGTGAGGTGGTGATCGCCACTCCGGGGCGTTTGATTGATTGCTTGGAGAGGCGTTATGCGGTTTTAAACCAGTGCAATTATGTGGTTCTTGATGAGGCTGATCGTATGATCGATATGGGGTTTGAGCCTCAGGTCGTTGGTGTCCTGGATGCCATGCCTTCGAGCAATTTGAAGCCAGAAAACGAGGATGAAGAGCTTGATGATAAGAAGATTTACAGAACAACTTACATGTTCAGTGCCACCATGCCTCCTGCTGTGGAGAGGCTTGCTAGGAAATACTTGAGAAATCCTGTTGTGGTCACCATTGGTACTGCTGGGAAAACAACGGATTTGATCACCCAGAATGTGATTATGACCAAGGAGTCTGAGAAATTCACTAGATTGCAGAGATTGCTTGATGAGCTTGGCGACAAGACTGCCATTGTGTTTGTTAATACTAAGAAGAATGCAGACTATGTGGCCAAGAGTTTGGACAAGGCAGGGTATCGTGTGACGACTTTGCACGGCGGGAAATCGCAGGAGCAGAGGGAGATCAGCCTTGAAGGTTTTCGAACCAAGAGATACAATGTCCTTGTTGCTACTGATGTTGCAGGGCGTGGTATTGACATACCTGATGTGGCTTATGTCATCAACTACGATATGCCAGGGAATATCGAAATGTACACTCATCGTATAGGACGTACGGGTCGTGCAGGGAAGACGGGGGTTGCCACAACTTTCTTGACGATGCATGATACCGATGTGTTTTATGATCTCAAGCAAATGCTCATCCAGAGTAACAGTCCTGTGCCGCATGAACTGGCAAAACATGAGGCTTCGAAGTTTAAGCCAGGATCAATTCCAGATAGACCACCTAGACGACATGACACTGTTTTTACTCATTGAGAAATGGTTAGCTTTCAATACTTTTAAATTAGGCTCTAGCTTTAGTGGGTACATGAAGTAAGGAATTGATGCTGGTCTGAATGTGGCAATCGATGCTTTTATTTTTGTTTCAGTGTATTAATGTTGTTCCCTGACTTGATTGCTTTAAGAGTTTATATGGATATTAGTTGAGGAAACCTGTGGCTGACAACTTAGAAGTCTATTTGATCTTAATGTTGACATTCTTTCGTAGCATAAACTTTTGAAGTACTTAGTTGTCTATTTTCTGGTGCCGTCCCATATTTTCTTATGTCATGTGTTATCATCTAAGCAAAAACTAATTTACATTGGACTTGCAAGTTTGCCACGGTGGATCGGTTGCATTTGTATATGATTGTTTATTCAATAGATCCTGATGAAACTGCGCCCTAGAAGTCAATAAAGAGTATGACAGAAATTTATACTGACGTGACTTGGGAATTTTGTTGATACCACTAAGTGATTATTTGAGGAATTTGATCGTAATGCTTTCAGTTATCTAACGTGATTGATATATATATATATATATATGGTTTTCTCCTGGAAATAAAGCCTAATGGGGAAAGCATGCTACTTTAATTTTAAAACGTGACAAACTTCTAAAACAAAGGAGATGGATGAAAAAACTAGCAGTTTCTCTGCCAAGCATTAAAGAGTATTATCTTATGAAACCTTTACACATACTCCATCATTGAATTTCTAGTCTTTGCCAAGATCCCGCAGGATATTGGGTGTGATATTGACATTTTGGTGATGTCATCATAAGGCTGAAGCCCATGAGATGAGCTAAATTAGAAGCGTATTGTATTGAGAGTGAGGGGGAGAAAAAAAAAAAAGCCTCATTGTTCTGTGTAGAGTTGCTCGAGTCTGGTAGTCTTCATCACTTGTCTATGTCCTGTAACCAGGTATGTCAGGTTCAGACCATCTCCAATGCAAATGCTAATGCTAATTATATATTTGACACAAAAAAAAGTATAATATGACATGTTATTTTCATTTTTGCTCAAACATATAATGCAATTTGAAATGTTAAAATCTACGTATAAACTTTTAATTTTTAAAATAAATTTTTTAAAAAATAATTTGAAAAAGCGAAAAATTGTAATGATTAAATGAAAAGAAACAATATCAATCAATAGGAATCAAATGCTAAATTTGCCATATGCCATATTTGGTGAAAAATTTACTCCAAAATATAGCATATGGTAAATTTACCACAACAAAAAATATTGTATTGCACAGTATTTTTTGCACTCAAATGTTAAATTTAACATTGGCACATCAATTATAGCATTACATTAGAGATGCTCACACTTTCACTTAGTCATTTTTATTGGCGTTCTTATGTTTTCTATTTTATTTTTGTGGGAGCAACAGCTTTACCTCGTGGTCTCTAGGGATCTGAAACTAGAAATAAATATGATTCAACATTGTGGTCTATCTTCATGATTGGGAGTAGGAATCCTTGCAGAACACTGTTGTTGATACAATCACCCGTGTAGTTATGTTAATTTAATTGGCTAATTGCTCTATACATCTATTAAGTATAGTATAGGTTCCTTTCTGTAAATAGCCATAGCACTGGTTTTACTGGTTTCACTTTGCTATACACATGAGAACCAATTTTCCCAAAATTGTTCAGTTTGTTGTTTCTTTTTATGCATCATAATTACAGTAATTATTGTTTTTTCACCCTTAGAACGAGATAATTTAGCACATTTATAAAGTGCATCTCAAGTATCAACCTTTATAAAGATTTAAAAGTAAGACGGTCAAACTTGAATAGATTAATCCAAGAAAAGGCATAGGATCCTTATCCTATATATTTTACAATGATAAATATTCCTCAGTCACTAGTAGAGTCAACAAAAGGATCAACTACACAAGCAACATTATGAAGCAACATTATAAAATAAGGACTTGAAATATTGTCGTCTTATAGGATCGGAGGTTCACAGTGATTTTCTCCATTTGCAGGGTGGGGGAAAAAAATGAGCATGAAACAGCAGCTTGAAAATTTTTCTGCGTATTGGAGTTCGATTTAAATTCAATTGGCAGTGAACATAACAGAAAAGAGGGATTACAATGTCAATGCCTTGTTAGGTGGTGGTGTCGGCTTTTTTTTTTAATATATATTTATATATATAAATTTTCCAAAGGACAATGATGCTTTATTTAGGAGATTTTTGTTTGAAGGGTTCGTCTTTGGTTTTGAATCATGATTCGCGGTTATTTATAGTGTTTTCCTCTCACAAAAAATTTAAATTTTAAAAATCAGAATCATAAATCATGTTCTGAATCCATGAACCAAATGTCACTTCTTAAAGTACGAGAAGTTTGATGATCAAATTTATAGTCAGCATTAGAGACACAATATTCTTGATAACATATCAATTTGGTGATTTGGAAAATACACACCAATCTGCAATTCATTGTAACTTTCACGACCTTGATGCTGACAGACACTATCCCTATACATGAACATGGAAATTCCCTGAAGTTGAGGTGTTAATTACTGACAGACATTTGTTGAAGAGCTGTTTTTTACTACATGAGAAAACCTTCAGACCCAGAGAAATACATACAATGTGAGAAATCAGGAAAAGAGAGAGAATACCACAAACATGAAAAGCGGACTCTGATTAGCACAACACGTAACCCAGCGGGTTACTTCTTTTTTAAATCGTTTTTATTATCTCAGTGAATAATTGTTATGTTGTTGCCGAGATCCTCGAGTTTCTTCAGCCGCAATCTCTCGCTTTCATTCACCATCTGACCAAGAAAAAATGCAGAATTCCTAACGTTAATATGATGGATTGTTCTATAATGGAGAAATGTGCTTATATTTTCGAAGGAAAAGAAAATGAATAGTCACCTCAAGTAACTTGGCAACTAGTTGAGTTTTTTCTCTGTTCTTCTCATTATAAGCTTCAACAGCCTCTCTATATTCTCTCTCCTGCAGGCAACAAAAAACTTAAAACAGATTTTTCTTTTATCTTTTAATCTCACAAATGCTCTCAATTCAGGTCTTGACTTTAAAAACATCCCAAATTCATCTAATTTAGCCTTTTTTTTTTTTTTTTTTTTTTTTTTTTTTTTCACTTTTTCACTCTTTTCACCAGTTAGTTGTTAAGAAAAGGATGACATATAAATATGATATTCCGTTAGTAGTGTTATATTCTCTTAACATCATGTACATATTCGGTATTCCATATTCCATTAGTAGAGTGTTATTTTCTATGAACATCACTCAGTCCAGAACCGAAACAAATTGATAGATTGAAATTAAGTCAATGACCAAAGTAAAATTAGAGAAAAATTTAGAGACTATTTGTAGGATTAAAACCTCCTTTTTTTTTTTTGGACTTGCAAAAGAGGAAAAAAAAAAGAAAAAAAGAAAAAAAGAAGCCATTGTAGGGTTGGTTTGGGTTCTAATCATAACAAAGATTCTTAATGAGGCACCTAGGACTGTAGCAGCAATTCCCACTTGTGAATTTAAATTAAAGCAGCTTCTTACATAAACAAACCAACTTAGCTACCAAGGTAATCATGTCATTTGAGAGCAAACACTACTTGGGCGTATAAATGAAGTCAGATTTTATCATACCAACAATTCAGATGATGTAAAGAAAGAACAATATAAATATAAAAGTATTAAGTGTGAAATTATATCGCCCCAAAAGCAGAAGAAAATAAACAGGACACATGAGAAACACAGAAGAGAATGGCAAATGAATATAAAGCTCTTTTCACCTTCTTCTGGCAGCTCTGCCCCAGCGGCTTTAACTCTTTGTTAATCAAATCTATCTTCTTACGAATCATCGATATGTCCTTCCTCATTGGATCTGTGAGTGCTTCGAGCTCCTAAAAGAGTTTTCGGAGTTTCGAATCAATCGTAAACCATTAATAGGCACTTTTTCCATCTTCCAATTATCAACCAAAGTTGCACATAAAGAGAACAGAAGCTTTAGGCTTGTATGAAATACTGCGACTTAGAAGGAGCTAATGTTCATGAAATAAATCTATCTTGCTATCTTACTGTCTTCTGAAAGTTCTAAAAGTCCCAAGTTTCATTCACTAGATTCCGAAAGAACTAAATAAATACGCGATCGCTCAAGATTAAACTACTCATGATCCAGCAAGCAAACAGTGGTGGAGACAGAATTTTTTTTTTCAGTTAGGAAAAATAGGAAGAGGAAAAAGATGATTTATGGTGCTTACGTATAATATATGTATACTAACTAGCATGTTTCTGTCGCAATTAGAGCAATGTGATTCACTTACTTCTCGAATGTCGGCTAAGCGCTTAGTTGCTTGTTCTACTTTTCCGATCTGTGCTTGGACTTTCTCTCTCACCTCCGTCTTCTTCCGCTCGATCTCTTCCTCCTTCGCTCGGAACATAGCCAACGCAGACCTCGAGAGCTCCTCTTCCTTGTCAATATCCTTTGTTGGGCTGCCATTGCTGCTGATCATAATCCCTGAGTTCTTCACTCTTTGCATCTGTTGCTTGCTTGGTGTTGTCATTCTTCTTCCACAATATAATCCTTCAAAACAAATTCTCTTCCTTTCTTTCGTTATGCTCCTTTTTCTTTTCCTCTAAGAATGATGGCTATCTTTCTCCTGTTCAAGGTGGTTAGAAACGAAAGCTGGGCTTAAATAGGTTGTTTGGTAGGAGGGAAAAGTAGAAGGAAGGAAGAAAGTGGAGAGATTTTGGGAGGGAAAATTAAAATGTAGAGCATGTTTGGTTCATGGATTAAAATCATGAGATTAGAATTATTTTTGATTTACGTGTATTTTTTGTGAGAGAAAATACTATAGTGAATCATGAACCATAATTTGAATCAGAGAATAAATCGTCCAACTAAACGGTACAGTAGGTTATTTAGTAGGAGGGAAAAGAGAAATGAAGAGAAAATGTAGTGAAAAATAGTACATGTGGGTCTCACTATTTTTCTTCTTTCCACAAATGGGCGGAAAATGAGATGGAAAATGGGAACAACTAATTAAAGTGAGTAAAGTTACTAAACTACCATTTTCTCTATCAACATTCAAACAAAAAATTTAAAGGTATAAAAGTAATTTACGAGTAATATTTTTTCTTTTCTCACAATTTAACTTCCAATACCAAACAAGTGAAGGTAAGCTCATTTTCTTTCCATCTTCTCATACCAAACAACATAAAAGAAAATCAATTTTCTTTCCATCATTGCTATTTTTCATCTCTTCCATATTTCATTTCTATCTTATTTTCTTTCATTCCTACCAAACATAGCTTTAAAGCTATGAAGCCCAACTTACTTTACAGCAACAAAAATATATTATCACAATTAGCTTTTGAAATGACCTAAAGTTGAAAAAGGGTAGATTTTTTTTTTACCATTGTTGAATGAAGACCAACTCGAAAACTCTCAATGACCTTCTTTCCACCTTTACTCAAACGCTTACTTGATGACCACCCATTGAAGAAATAATTTGCAGTGAACTTTAATCTTTTTCTGTAGAGAAATATTATTGGCAATGTATGATTGAGTATTTTTTTTACATACAATTTGCTCCTTAATACTTGATGTAGGATCTAACATGGGCCTCATTTTGTTAGCTAGATTGATATTTTCTCAAGGTTAGGTATACAGGCAAATTCAGCCAACTACTGTATGTAAAGCTAACGTTTAGTTCATGGATTAGAATCACGAGATTATAACAATTTTTGATTTAAGTGTATTTTTTATGAGAGAAAACACTATAGCGAACTATGAACCATGATTCAAATCATGGTATGAATTTTCTTACCAAAAGTCTCATAAATGTTTTTATTATTTATTATATTGCCACTACTTTGTGTAGTTATGAAGAAATACATAATTCTTTAGGCAACAGATCGTTTACTAGTTCTAAATCTTCAATTTGGTATGAACGGGGAATTTTTATTGGGAGAAGATTTTCTAGCATCATACCAAAATACGATAATTTGTACACTTTATATAACAACTTACAAATTTCGAACACTGTATTGGTATAAGTTATGATAGATTTATGAATTTTAAAAGAATTAATAATTTGCACATTTGAACGATATACTTGAGAACTTTGAATGTTGAAATTATAAAAATTGCGAGAAATGAATGTGTTGTAAATGCAATATAAAACGAGCTGGTATAAATGTAATTATAATAAATTACAATCGGTTGGAATGTCCAAAAGGCTATTAATGATTATATATTATTTTCTCATGTACAAAGGTGCTTGGGATGAATGATTTTTTTTTTTTTTTGAGGTGGAGTGAACAGTAAGGGCTTACCTACCAATATGGGGAGGAGGCTTAGAGGACAAGACAGAGTAGGAGAGATGGGAAGCAGCTAAGATAGCTGCCTTTATGACATATCATTGGTTCTTCCAGCTTGTGTTTGGAAGAGAGAATCTCCACTTTTCACTTAGAATACGTTTGGTTCATAGATTAGAATCATGAGATTAAAATTATTTTTGATTTACATGTATTTTTTATGAGAGAAAACACTGTAACGAACCATGAATCATGATTCGAATCAGGGTACGAATTCCCTTACCAAACGTCCCCAATTTTGCTTCCTTCTCTTTTAAAACACTTAGTTCGCTTCACTAGGGATTTGTTTAGTTCACGTGTTCAAGTCAGTGATTCTGATTTATTAGCTGAAATTTTGTAAGAGAAGAAGTTTTTGAATTCAAATTCTTTATTAGATGAAAAACACTGTAACATACCAAAATTTTAAGTTCAAGTATATGTACCTAAGGTATTGTTTACCCCAAATTATTGCAAAAAGCATAATTCATGGAATCATGGGAATTTACTTATAATATATAGGGCTTTCAAGATTCTATTCTAAAATATACTTTTGAGTTTCCACTCTGCCCAGGAATGCAATTTCGAGGCCTACGGATAAATTTCTAACCTGCCCAAAATAGAATTCATGAAACATTCTTTAAGTTTATGGTCATCACAATGTAGAAGACTTGGGACCATATGCATGGGCTTTTTTTTATTATTATTTTTTCATACTATAAAAAGTTAAAAAAAATGTTCCATGCTAAAGAGCAAATACTTTCCAGAATGACATCGGGTCCTGATCTTTTATTCAAATTTGATAAGCAAATTGCTGCATATTATAACTTTTTTTTTTAGTTATTTGATGTTTTTTTAACTTTTCTTCACACTTTTCTTGGCATGGCCAGACATCATTATGTGTTTTTAGGCCCACTTTGATATTGCATTGAGAAAATACTTTGAGTCAGGTCCGTTTATTTCATCGATTCGAGTTTAAAATTAGAGTTTTACTACAGTAAAATATTCTTAGAAACAATCACATTTAACTTTTTATTATAATAAAAAGTTATCACATAAAGTCACATTTTAACTCAAATTAAAAACTCGAATCAGCGAACTAAACGGGCCCTCAATTTGAGGGGCAAAAGATTAAGAAATAATTTATGAAGTTGCTGCACACTGCAAGAATTTGAGTAGCATGATCAGCCAAGTGGTGGCAGATATTTTATCCATTGATTCGGATCACTATGGCTAACGTCCCAAAATTATGCACGTCTTGTGAGGTCATAGGTTTTGCGGAAAAATAAAAAGGAAAAAAAGCCAAAAGTACCACTCAAGATGATAAAAAAATACTATTTATACCACATCACTTGAAAATAAATAATTTCCATTCAATTAATAAGAAGAAAATAAAAGATCACAATGACACTTAATTATTTAAAATAAAATTAATAATAGATTTTCAAAAAACCATAGCAAATTATGTACTTTTGTCAATTCTGTTTCTGTTGTGTGTGATGACCGGACTTGTAAGCAACAAAAAGGAAATGGAGATAAATACCTCATTAAATTGTATGAGTCTTGATTTTTATTTCTCATTCGTAATTAATTAAAAAAGATATTAATTAAGAATAAGAGATAAAAATATAAATCAATGAGCTATTAAGAGTAAGTTCAGTAATTTTCTAGTGACACAACATCAAAGATAGCAGGTTTAAGCCCCGTTCATTTCACCGATTCGAGTTTAGAATTTAAGTTTTGTTACAGTAGAAAACTCTCAAAAATAGTCACATCTAACTTTTTTACTACAGTAAAAACTCTCAAATAAAGTCACATCTCAACTCGAATTAACGAACTAAACAGGCCCTTAGAACGTGCAAACTTAAGAAACGCCCTGTTGAAAGTTGTTACACGACAGGATTTGAGTTGGTACAAAGCCAAGAATCTATCCTCTCACCTCAATAGACCTCATAAATTCCCTTCTAGATCAAGGCTAGGTCAAGCTTAAAATTGTCCTGTGAAACTTGGGTATTTTCTTCTCAAATCTCCTTTATTCTAATTTTCATCAAATAAAATATTTGACTTACACATTCTTATTTGCCAACAATAATTCACACTTATTATCCTTTCCATACAAGAAAAGAAGTTCCAATCTACGAAATAAATGGTCCATGCAATAAGTCTTATCATTTTCAGGTGATTCTCCCGCATTAAGTTTTCATAATCAATTCTTGTGGGCAAAGAACTTGACAGACCTTACTATAGCTCGATTCTTTGAATAAATAGACTCATTTTCCCTCCTAGTGTTTTTCTCACTGTGTTTTGACCAGGACGTTTTAATGAGGGATATTTAAAAGTTAATTAACAAGGTGTGAGCCCTCACTTAATTCTTTGGGATTATTTTCAGCTGTTATGCATGTGATTTCCAAAGAGGGGGTGACGGTGGATCCTGCAAAGATTGAAGCTGTTAGCAATTAGAAAAGACCAACCAATGTAAGTAAGATCAGAAGTTTTCTTAGTCTAGCCGGATATTACCGAAAAATTGTAGCAAATTTTTCGAAGCTTGCCATGCCACTTACGACGCTTACCCGAAAAGGGAAGAAGTTTGAATGGACGGAAGACTGTGATAAGAGCTTTCAAGAGTTAAAGAGGAGACTCACCAGTGCCCTGATCTTGACCATTCCAGAAGGGGACGCCAACTCCTCACAGATCGTCACAGTTATCTTAACTTTCAAACATTTACCTCTTAAAGAATGCGAAAAAAATAGTTAAGCTTGAAACACTTTACTTTGAATGACTTAAAGAAAAGCCTAACTTTTTTTTTTTTTTGTAAAAAACATATTATCTTTAAAATTTTTTAACTTCCTCAAAGAAAAATAAAATAACCTTTCGGTTCAACTTAATTATTAAAATCTATGCCGTGAAATAAACTTAAAAAAAAAAGAAGTCTAAAATATTCTTCAAATCAAAACTATCATAAACCAAAGTTTCAAAACAATAAAAATGAAAACTAAAATCCTTGTTTAACATTAAACACTTTTATCCCATGATCGTTTCTCCCGTTTTCTTATCACGCATAGCTCGCATCCGCCCCAATATTCTCCATGGCTACATCTTACCCTTTCGATTGTCTGCAACATGAAATAACTTATATAAGCAAGGGTTTAGTAAGACACTTAATTCTTACAAATGTAAATTAACATTTTTATTCATCAACAATAAATGCGTCATCATGAGAATAATTATTTTTGAACATATTTTAAACTTTAAAATCCATCATATATTGGGTCCGACGTTGTACCATCATAGCGCGCTAGCCACGGAAAGTATGGGATAGCAAATCCCATACCAACCGTGGCAATAAGACCGCTCACCGGTCACCATCAAGGGTGTACAACGCCATTTAAAAACATAAAAATACATATATACATTTTTCTTCAAACGTCATCATATGAAATGTTAAAGGTGTCATAACATCATCATAAATATCAAAATCATATACTTCTCAATTCTTCAATTCATGTTGCAGGTGAGAGTGTAGTTACTTGAGTGCCTTACTTAACTTTTTTAAATTTCACAACGGTGACGCGACGAATGAGGTCCTCGGGTGCTCGCCTCTAGAACCGTTCATGCCATAAATCATAAATAAGATTACTAAAGAACCTTAACAACTCATCAAATACATTAATCACGTTAAAACAACGTTTAATATACCATTCCCACCAATCATTAATATCAAGACATAAAAACCCACTGATTACACAAAACCACAAAACTTAACAAAAACTGGCAGCCTGACCTTTACTCATTTAAAAACTCATAACAATTCACATAGAACTCCAAATGACCTGAAACTAATTTTAAATTAAAGTAGACATCTAGAGCTTTCCAACGGTATCTAATTTACTAAAAACGGAGTTCATTTACTCCCTGAAACCCCGTTTTAAAATCAGACATGAAACCTGAAAAATTCCAGCACTCAAACTAGAACAAAAATTCACTAAAAATTCTATAAAATACAAAACCATCATCCTCAACATGTATAAACAACACTCCGTCTATTATTCAACCTTATGACATATTTCTAATACACAGAACATATAAGTATGCATGCAATCACTCTTAGACACGTCCAAAATTTTTGACTTCTTAAACTAGGGTGCAATAAGGCCAATGAAATAAGACATCCTAGCATTAGATACAATATGTATACAAGTCTATAAATGATTCCTCTAAATATAATCGACAATTTGAAAATGACTAATTAAATAAATAAGAATACAGAGGTCTGAAAATGATTAAAAAGAAAACAAACATAGCCACCCATCCACCCATATACGTAATACCATAAGCAACATAGCAGTGGTATAGCCTCACTCAAACATCATCTCATGTCTCTCCTCTTTCTCAAATAAAAACCATCATTGACAATCAAATCCGTACCCTTAAAGAATTCGAAACTAAAAGAATAAATAATAAGAGGAATCATACCTTAACGATTTCTTTTATCTTGATTGCTAAGAGAATTCAAAAGAAAGATTAAGAGATGAGCTTGATGGCTGATTATGGAGGTTCTCTTGTGATATATATATATATATTTTTTTTGTCGTGATAGAGAGGATGAGGGAGAGAGAGACGTGAAAGAGGTATGGAGAAAGGATTAGGAAACTGAAAAAAAAGATAGAGCTGGCTGCTTAAAAGAATAAGATTTTCATTGGTCAACATGTACATAAAGAGAAATTACTTACAATTTGATTCCAAATGAATTTTGGGATTAACTCGAATGTTAATTGGTTTAATTTGGGTGATTATAGGCTGTCATTGAGGTGGAAAACGAATTGCAAATCATGATCAAAGTTTCGTTATACTGTCATTAACTCAAAAGACATAAAGCAATTCCTCACCCTTAGCTATCCGGCATAGAATCAATTATCAACAATAAAGTACAATAACTTACCTATGGTTGACTATTGATGTTTATGTATATATATACATATATATATATATATATATTTATAAATCTATAAATATAAAATTGAACGTGTAAGTATGTTTGTTTCTTAAGATAACATATAACCAATTTGTATTTAAAACTTGACATATATATCTAATATGTATTTTGTAATAATATATATATGTGTAAATCTATTAATAGTATTAAATCAACATACATATCCATCAAATCTTCATATAAAATTTAACAGCTTGGCATGAACTTGTTCTTACACCACGAGTCATCGTCGCGTTCACCTGTAGAAATAACTCAAAGTGATGTTAGAATTCACTAAATATAATACCATAAGATTATTCAAGTTAATTCCTAACGTCTATTTCTAGGAATTTTGTTAGTTAGAAAAATGGGTGTTACAGTTATGTAGTTTTTTTTGTTTGTTTTATGATATCCTTGGGAGTTTTATTTTCCCTTTTCCTTAAAATTTTGTTGGTTTTTTCTTTCATGAATAATATTTAGGGATGGACTTAGTATGAGATATAATTATTTTCTGTAGGTATCAATCTAATTGTGATGTTATGTGCTACCCTAATGCTAGTTGGCATTCTTTTTTCCACATTACACATAAATTACATATCTTGGCACCGTGGTGGGAGCGCTTACGTTTGCACCCGGGGTCCAGGGTTCGAATCCCGGAAACGGCATTTCCTTCGGGGGAGTAAGGCCGTGTACATATGAGATTGAGCTTTCCCCCGAACCTGTCATAGTACGGGAGCCTCTTTGGCACTGGAGTCCACCTTTTACACATAAATTACATACCCATGAGCGCTCATATAATTGCTCTGATCTTCACCATCCACCTTTGATACTGGTGAAAATGTCGGCACGGTGATGCGACGATGACCTCCGGCAAACTTTGTCGGTGTTGGTGGCTTCTCAACGGCAAGCAGATCTGAAAGGAAGAAACACTCAAGACTTTGGCTCGGAAAAGAACACCCCTTGACTAATAATCCCACCATTTTTGGGAGGATTATTGGTCCCACAGATTTTGGAGACTATTTTCTTGTCAATGGATAAATTGTCCGGTCAATGTTTGGTACCAAACATGAGACTGGGATTAATAGTCCCAATCCTATCGGCAGCAATGCAATCTGATCATGAACTTTAACCGTCAGCTTGCTTTTTGTCCTGCACAAGAGGCAATGTGAACCTTAGTTCTAGTGTTACCACACAATTTTACTCGGCATACTCCTAGAAATAAACCATAGATGTAATAAAATAACACATCAATAGCCAGTATTCTAATTTCCTAAAAAGTAGACCCTTTATAATATCATTTGTAGTCAAGTATAAAAACTATTAGATTCGACAAAGTATTTAAGCTAAATAAGACCGCAAAATTGCAAAATGTGATTCATAAAAGATTTACTTATTTATATGAATGATCCAATAAAAAGACTGAACTGTTATGTTAACACTTATCATGAAATGTTCAACAAAGTTTTGAGATTAGACTAATTAAAAGCATAATATGTTTACTATTCGTGAATGTATTATAAACAGGGGACTAGAAAACATGATCTGCGCAAATTTTTAGTTCCAATCTAATAAATTCATAAAATCGAAATCTATGGACTCAGATCTCCTGTCCAATTTTAGTGTCTCAATTGGTGTCTAACTAATCATATCACGTCATGTCATGTAAAAATTTTGAATTGCTTTTTAACTAACTCTTTCGTGCTTCCCATGATGTGGTGTGATTTGATTGGTTGGACACTATTTAAGACACTAAAATTTAGACAGAGGACTTGGATCTGAAATCTATCAAGATGAAACATAACGTAGGACGGTGAAACCACCTTCCATACCGTCTTCCTGAACGTCGTCATAGAATCTCATAAGTTATGAGAACTTCGTTACTATTAAACAACAACAAGAAAAAAAAAAAAGAGAGATAACGAAAGCATGAACCAATAATCTCGAAGCCAAAAACATGCAATTAAAACAAAACTCTAAACGAGATGAGATCAAATGTATCAATAATTGTTCGTTCTATTTTGCAACGAATCATCTAAAGTGTTTTTACTCCACTAATCATAAACCACTACATGCCATTATAATCCCTTGAAAATGAATGCAACATCAAAAATAAGTATAATTATTTTCAAGTAAAAATAAAAATAATTAAGCGGAAATTGGGATATATGTATGTATATATAACTGCCAATGAAAATTGGACAAAAGGTAAAATGTTTGTTTTGAACAAGGATGAAAATATCGATATTTTCACGGAAATTTCCGTATTTTGGAAGTATTGATATGAAAATAGGGGGTGTAGTATCTTTTCCACTGAATATCTTGAAATTTCCACAGATATTTCTGTAAATATCGATATTTTCACAAAAATTTCCATTTCTGAGTAAAATGTAGTGTTAAATGACCGAATATTGTGGAAATTTTACATAAATTTCACGAAAATATCAGTAAAAATTTCCACAGAAAGTTCCGCAGCTTTATATATATATATATATATATATATATCTTATTTTACTTTTTTTAAAAAATCTAAAAAATATGGCATGTTCAAAATTATATAAGGAACTATTCAAACTCCATGTCTTGGTATCAATATTGTTTAAACTAAGAATGTGTTCAAAATACCTTCCAACATCCTAGAAGCTTTTTTTTATGTTGATAATTTATCATCATGTATGAAACTATATATGTATGGTATATGTATTATGTTGACTTTCAGCTACTTTACTTAATTTGTGCACGTGTGCTTAGTATTTTTGGTGTTATGATCACACTTTACCTTGCATATTTATCAAATAATTGGTATTTTGATTGAGAGTTTCATCTAATTAATGTATTATTATCTGTTTTAAGGTTTTTAAAATCCCATTTGAAAATAGAGTGTTTAGTATGAATTTTCATTTTTTACGTCAATTTCCATCGATATCAATATTTCCGTCGATATTTCCGTAAAATTTAAGTACCGATATCGATATTTTCATCCTTGGTTTTGAACAACTAATGCATGAAAGTGAACAGGAAAAAAAATGTTGAAATTTAAAATACTGAGAGTGTTAACTATTGGCTCTGCTGCCATTTCAATAGAATAAGAAATAATGGTGTACGGAACTCAACCAATTTAATGTTAACACATTCACAAAAAGAAGCTTATAAGCAAAGTGTTCCAGACATTGAAGTGTATTTTGATGAAGGCTTTTCTTACCTTATGTTGTTCAAATATGGACTCTTCTCCAACATCTGCTTTGCAACGCTTTAAAACTGTTCAGAGAGTTTTTGAAGATCCTGTTTTGAATTCTGTCCAAAATCGTTGTAGTCCTCTTTCGGTCGATTTGGCATATTCATGAAGGTCCTCTTCAGAAGACAGAAAAGTTGTCAAAGCCCTCTTCTTCTTCAAAGTCATTGTCGGGATCTTCTCCAGGGTCTTCTAATTTTGGATCTTCTTCAAGATATAAATATATGTTAGAGACTATAATATGTCGAAATGGAAACAAATTTGTATTGTATAGTCTTGCTGATTCATGACGTGTTTTTTTTTTTGGCCATATAAATTGTCTTTTTTTTTTTTTTTTGTCTATCGTCCAAATTTGGATATGGCGTTCTCTTGAGCATTGCAGACTAAATCCTATTCAACCACTTTTCCTAAAAGGGTCCGGAATAGGTTCTCAAAAACAAAAACGAAGGTATTAAGAAAAAGGGAAAAGAAAGCTTTCATTCATGTTAATTATTGATCGTTAGTTACACGAGATTCAATCGAAAGTAAACCACCGTAGCAAACAAACCAAATGTTAGAAGTCAACAAGGAAACGATCGAGATTTAAAGAAAACCAAGTAGGACAATTAAGGGCATTGCCTTACAGAATTCAGGGGCATGAAAAAACAATTCTACTCGTGATGCCTGGTGACTTGTTAGGTTTGTCCCACTAAAAAATGTAACTAAATTAAGGTAAGCAAAACTCGAAATGACACGATGAATGAAAACTCGTACCTTCTCTGAACAATTGCTGAATTGCTATGCCTAGGTTGATCTCCCAGAGTTCTTGCATGCTGGAATGAAAATCATCCTTCCACAACTCTTGTATAGGCCTAGCTTGCTCCAAGTCCTCAAAATAACCTTTTATATTCCAAAAGTTCTGAGCCCGAATATACCGGTCATTTATTCTTGTGATTATTTTGTCGAGCTTAGGGACGATGGCCCCACAAGAGAAACTCTTCAACTCGGGGCATTGAGTTACAATCAATCTTTTTAACTTCGGAAATCCCATTACACAATCACCCAAATGGAAGCTAGTGAGGCTTGGTAAGCTATGCAGTTCCAACATTTCCAATTGTTTGAACGTAATTTCACATGCCCCATCAAGATCATCTCCCTCATTTGCAATTACTTGAGTCATCATTTGGCACTCGCTTATGCTCATACTTTTCAGTCGTGCCAAACTTCTAGCAGTTGAGAAACTCAACAAATACACCATTCCGCTGCATATCGACACTCTTAGCCTCGTCAAATTTGAGAACGAAATGGAAGGCGGTGCTAATATCATCAATTTCGCACACATCCCTACATCCAAAGTCTCCAACTTTTGGAAGACTTCGCATAGGTGGAAGTTCTCAAATGAGTGAGTCAACGGGATTTCATCTCCTATTGTTGGGGATGCCACATTACGGAGACTCTTCACCTCAGGGCACTGCATCACAACAACTGTTTTCAATTTTGGAAATCTTACAGTAAATTTACCCGAATGGAAGCTAGAGAGTCTCGGTAACTTATGAAGTGCCAAAGTTTCCAATTGTTCAAAAACAATTTCCCCTGTATCACTGTCACACCATTCACTTGAAATTACTTCCTGCATTCTTTGGCATTTAATTATGCTCAATGTCTGCAGTCGCGACAAATATCTCGCTGTTGAACAACTCAACAAACTTACCATCCCATTGCATGCTGCTATTCTCAGAATTGTCACATTTTGAAAACACATGGAAAATGGTATCAAGTTTGTTAAGCTGTCACATCTCCGTACAAATAGAATCTCCAAACCGTGGAAAGCTATGCATGAATGAGAGCTCTCCAACGGTTGCATCAATGGAAGTTCTCCCACAAGTGACATCGATGCCATACAACAGAAATTCTGCATATTAGGGCACTCTACCACAACCACTTTTCTCAATCTAGGAAATCTCATGCTAGAAATCCCAGAATAAAAGCTAGAGAGGCTTGGTAATCTATAAAGTTCCATAACTTCTAATTGATTGAAAATAATTTCAAGCGACTCCGCACCAGCAGGACCTCCATCATTTGAAACTATTTCAGTCATCATTTGGCATTCATCTATGCTTATTTTTTGAAGTCTTTCTAGACTTCTGGCTACAGAGAAACTAAATAAGTTGATCATTCCATGACATCTTGACACACTTAGAGACGTCAAATTTGGGAAAGATACGGAGGACGGCACTACGTTCTTTAAACTGTCACGTCTCCATACGAGTAGATCTTCTAGATTCTGAAAGACTTCTCGTGGGTGGGAGTTCTCCTCAAATAAGTGCATCAATGTGGGACTTGCATGTAGATGTAATGATTTTATGCGTGAAAACAAAACATCACAAGTTTCTTCCAAGTTCAACTCTTTC